ACCACACCACCACCACACCACCACCACCACCACCACCACCACCACACCACCACCACACCACCACCACACCACCACCACCACCACCACCACCACACCACCACCACACCACCACCACACCACCACCACCACCACCACCACCACACCACCACCACCACCACCACACCACCACCACACCACCACCACCACCACCACCACACCACCACACCACCACCACACCACCACCACACCACCACACCACCACCACCACACCACCACCACACCACCACCACACCACCACACCACCACCACACCACCACCACACCACCACCACACCACCACCACACCACCACCACACCACCACCACACCACCACACCACCACCACACCACCACCACACCACCACCACACCACCACACCACCACCACCACACCACCACCACACCACCACCACACCACCACACCACCACCACACCACCACCACACCACCACCACACCACCACACCACCACCACACCACCACCACACCACCACCACACCACCACCACACCACCACCACCACCACACCACCACCACACCACCACCACACCACCACCACACCACCACCACACCACCACCACCACCACCACCACACCACCACCACACCACCACCACACCACCACACCACCACCACACCACCACCACACCACCACCACACCACCACCACACCACCACCACCACACCACCACCACCACCACCACACCACCACCACACCACCACCACCACCACCACCACACCACCACCACACCACCACCACCACCCCAAACACTACCGTTACATCGCTCCTGCAGAGAGATGAACATTATTTTAAAACTAATCAAATTGAATCGTATACGATACTCAATTTAAAAAATCATATCCATAAGAAGGTAAACTAATTGAACGTGTGGGTGTGTCGGGTGTTGTTTACATTGCTTATATATATATATATTTATGTGTGTGTGTGTGCATGTGTGTGTGTGTGTGCGTGTGTGCGCGTGTGTCTGTGCATGCGTTCGCGCGAGCGTGCGTGCGTGCGGGCGGGCGTACGTGCGTGCGTGTGTGTGTGTGACAATTCCTGTAATGTAAAGTCTGACAGTTGTCTGTGGGTCCATGTGGATGTGGGTTATAATTCGCCCCCCCCCCCCCCCCCATCCCCACCCCCGCTTACACATCTGCTAAAAGGGACCCGATAATTAAATTTTACGCATTTCGCCTTATAAGTAACTTCAAGTAATATTAAACATTTAGACTAAATGTTAAAAAAGCAAAGCCTGACTAAAACCACACCCACCCACCAAAGTCTGACAAAAACCACACCCACCCATCAAAACCTGACTAAAACCACACCCACCCACCAAAGTCTGATAAAAACCACACCCACCCATCAAAGCCTGACTAAAACCACACCTACCCACCAAAGCCTGACTAAAACCACACCTACCCACCAAAGCCTGACTAAAACCACACCTACCCACCAAAGACTGACTAAAACCACACCTACCCACCAAAGCGTGACTAAAACCACACCTACCCACCAAAATTTGACTAAAACCACACCTACCCACCAAAACCTGACTAAAACCACACCTACCCACCAAAGCCTGACTAAAACCACATCTAACTGGGCTAAATAAACACAACCTTGTCTAAACCAGTCGCTAGCCGCCAAGATTTTAATTAATCAACAACGATTTCGTCAGTTAATGAGAGACAGGTTAATTACATCCACCATTTCAATGGAAACATCCACGTGGTGTGTACTATAAACTTCCGTTTTCTGTTTATCGTCTGCATGATGTACTTCCGGTATTGTCACAACATCCGGCTGCCTTTTCAAACCTGTTTTGTTCTGCTATTACGTCAATTAGAAACTAATTAGCTCTTTGATTCATTAGAATCTGATTTGTAGATACATGTACATTATATACACATGAAAGGTTCCTTAGCAAACGTTTTGTAATAGTAATGCCAAACATCTTAGTTGTTTTTTCATAAATCGGTTTGGATCTGGGTTTAAATAAATTTTAGCGTCAGGACATGGGTCAAGATTAGGCTTGGGGGTAAGGTAAAGTGCTAGGGATAAGGTTAAGGCTATGTCCAGCGTTAGGAAAGCACAGGGCCGGCGCTACCTATAAGGCGAACTAAACGGTCGCCTAGGGCGCCATCCCTAGAGGGGGGGGGGCGTAAAAGGTGTAATCGCTATTATCAAAAAGTACCCAATAATAACGAATACATTTTATAAAGGAGTAGCGATCTATTTCGGCACCCAGGACGAACAATCAATTTTGCACCCCCACCACAAAATTAGGTCTATATAGGCCTATATTTATTCGCGATGGTGAAAATGCAACCCCACCTCCCTAATTTGAAAAGGTCGGGGCGCTTTTTACCAGTCACTTTGCCTTTCTAATTTGGTGTCAGATAAGTGATGTAAAAAACGAATTAAATAAGTTCGTAATTTAAATTTCGAACATTTTATTAGGTCCTGTAAGTCACTCTTAAAGTATTATTAAATCGGATGAAATATATAACAAACTGTAAACTTTGTTTTTTTTTATATTTAATCAATAATTCTTGCAATATCTAAAGCAGTTACCAGTGTTTGATTTTTTGAAAGACATCCCTTTATTTAGGGGATCCAAAATTTTAACATAGAACGCTTCCACCTTGAGACAATTAACTGTAGGTAGGTCATCAAAATTCAATAAAAGTATGATATAATAAAGCTACCGGTTTTAGAATTTCGAACAAAACCTACAGTTAAGTATTCAATAAGTAAAATATATTGTTTTCACGAGGTTACATAGCTAATATAAAAGATTTGTTATAAATATCACGTAATGAAATTTAGAGCGTTTATTGTGTTTTTCAAACATGTCTTAATTACATTTGGTTAATTTAGCAATTCTTGTGAAAGTTATGTCCCTTGAATAAAATTTTGTTATTTAGATTTTCAAATTGGAGATAATTCGTTGCTCAACTTTACATTCATTTCAAATTCCTGCACCTTAGGTTGGGGTGTAGGACAAAAGGCCGACATCCAAAAGGCCGACAAGACATAAGGCCGACAGGACATAAGGCCGACAGCCATAAGGCCGACAAACCATAAGGCCGACAAACCATAAGGCCTACAAACCATAAGGCCGACAAACCATAATGCCGACAAGCATAAAAATACTAATATCGCAAAAGTTGTGTTACTGCATAACTCCTATCTTGACAATCATCGAAATAAGGAAAAAAAAAGATGAAACGTTCAAGAGAAGAGACTGGGCTAGTTGCTACCCTTATAAGTTGAACCATCGGGTCAAGCGACTGGAAATTACGGGTGTGTCTTAAATACAAAGGATCAACACCTAGATATTGCGAAATGCTGTCACTGCTCTCTTTTATAGCTCTTTCTATGTAATCGAGGTGAGATAATCATCAAAGAACCAAGTCAAAAACCGCCGGCATCATCGCCCACATGCAACAAGTTGGAACGCCAAGAGACAATGCTAGTTGCGATCCTTATAAGGTGAACTATGGGGTCCATGCGACTGGAGATGACGGGAGTGTACAAAGAATAAACAGACAGGTGTTACCACCATATTTCGCAAAGAAATCAAAGAAACCGAATCTTCTTCTTCTTCGTTCTTAATATTTAGTGTTGGAAGGGATTGAGCCTTATCTGATTGAACGCAAGACTTTTTCGAATTTATCAACCATGAGCTTTTTGCCGACTCGACCTCGCCTCCATTAAGTATACGTGTCAACTGGTTATGCGCCATTGAGGCCATTGACTCCGATTTCAGCCTGCTTTTCTTTTTGGATTTGCTTCCATAGCCTTTGTCCAACCAAGAACAAACTACAAGGCAGCAGTTGTTTAATTTTGGAGTTGTCTCTCCTAGAAGAGTGGCTGTCCCCAGCTAACGAGCCTCATCTACACGAGGGTTCGAACTCGAGACTTTTCGGTTTAGCAACCATGAGCTTTACCGACTCGACCACGCCGACCCCAAGAAAAGCGTGGGTCACTTAAGTATCTATTGGATACCTTTACTAACATTTAGGAAGAGATTGTATGAATTTCATAACTTACTTCTCGATAAGTAAATCTATAGATCTAAATCAAATTTTAATGAAATAGTTCATTTCTTCGTATTCTAAAATTGGAAGATGACGCCATTGGTTTTGTGTACTTTCCGTACTTCAAACATATGAAATGTGACGTCATCGATTTTGGCGTTCTTGTCACAACTATAAACATCTTTCCGGTTGCATTAAAACTGTTTTTGTACACTAGAACATGCCATTATTTTTTATTTTTCTTCTTTTAATAAAATTTGGATCATACATTTAAAACATCTACCATATTATTTTCAACAAAAGTCTGTATCAAGTTCTCCATATATCGCTGAATACTAATTTGGACACATTTTTTATTAATTTACAAAAAAATCAATCAAGCAACCAATTAAGTAAAATTAATGTCATGTTGCATTGTCTTCATCTCTTGACCCACGTGCCAACTAAGAACCGTATCTCTCAGTTAGAAGTGCCTGCAATTTTGCTCGGGCGTTTCGATCTAGACAGACAAACTGACGACAGAGGAGTGAGTTAAATAAATGCTTGTAAAAAGTGTTCACTGGGTAAAAATGATAAGTTCAATCGATTTCAGCTGGTTGTTGTTTTTTTTTCATTAGAACTAGATTTAGATATTTCAGAAATCTGTACACTATCATGTAGCCTACTTTATGTGCATGATGTTGTATGTTGTAGTGTTACATAATCTATTTTGTTGTAGTACGTTACGTCTTTTATTGTATGTTTTCTTACACGGTTGTTGTATTTTGTATATTTAATTACACAGTTTGTAATATTGCCTATGATACTACATCGATACTTGTATGTTGTAGACTAATTCATATGTTGCATGTTCTAGTACCTTACGTCATTTATTGTATTTTTCTTACATAGTTTGTATCTTGTATGTTTAATCACACCGTTTGTTATGTTGTATGTTGTAGGTTCAAGAAGAGAAGAAGGAGGGCAACGCCCACGCCGACCTTGACCGTGAGAAATGGCCGGCCTACGACCCTAACCTGATCGCCGAGGCCCTGTTCGCCGCCGCCAACATCTTCAGCTCCCTCAAGCTGGTCAACATCTTCACGGTCAGCCCGTACCTGGGCCCGCTGCAGATCTCGCTGGGCCGGATGATCATGGACCTGGTGCAGTTCGGTTGCGTCTTCTGTCTCGTGCTCTTCTCCTTCGCCTGCGGCTTGAACCACTTGTACTGGTACTATGCTGACAGGCATGCGCAGGATTGTACGGCGGCGCTTCCGGAGAATCCCAATCCGCCATCTTGCGACAGGAAGTACAGGAGTTTTGCCAAGTGAGAAGGTTTTATCTTTACTTTAATAGCTTTAGGTACAAGAGTTTCGAAAAGTGAAAAGGTTCTATTTTTGCTTTGAAAGCTTTCAGACTTGTTTTTTTAAGGACAATATTAATTCAAATTTGCACTCAACTTCAAAAATATTTTTAATTTGTTTTCATAATTTGCTAAATATGAATGTCAATCAAATAGGAAAGTGTTTAAATTTAAATAGAGGGTCGAATTTTAATACCGACTTTTCAAAAAACATCTTCGTTATGCAGACACTAAAAATCTTTTTATTTTCGTTTGGCTGGTCACGTAATTAATCGTAGATTGCAATTTATTGGTATAACATAGTTTCTGTTAGTGCGAGAGGACTCGCGATTTTAAGTGTCTAATCTTTCTTGATCCCAATTTTAGTTGTATTGATTTTTCTTGGAGGTTTTTGCTCCCACTTTCTCGCTCGTACCGACAGCCGGCTAGAGCGATGCTATTAAGCCAGTCAGACAAAGATGTAGAATCCAGCATTTCTCAATGTCATGATGCTTAGCCTCTAGATTTTTTTTGTCAGGCTTTAACCAAGTCTTTCTGCGTGCGTTGTGCCACTTGGTTTATGAGTGGGGGTGGGGGGGGGGGGCGATCCGTATTGTGGACGACTCACGGCCACGGGACTTTATTACAAAATCGTGACTTCTGGGTTAGACCACTCCGTCCCCACTCCTCACAATTTCCTTGGGACGGAGTTAAATTTCTCTCACTTTTTTGCTTAAAACTAAGTCAAATTGTCCACACAATTTGCTTGAAATTAGAAGTCCAATTTTCCTCACTACTATGAGGGATTATCTTCTATGTTGAGAAAGTTGTTCTTTATTTATTTATTTTAAAAACACAACCTTTCGATTACGTCATTTTTTTCTTGCCTGTCGCCCAGTCTCTGGGAGATCGTGCAGTCACTGTACTGGGCCATCTACGGCCTGGTCGACCTTGACCACGCCGAGCTGCAGCCCAAGTTCAAGCACGAGTTCACGGAGTTTGTCGGCAAGCTGATGTTCGGCACCTACAGCTGGATCGGCCTCATCGTCCTGCTCAACATGCTCATCGCCATGATGAGCAACTCCTACCAGAGGATCTATGTAAGTCTTTGGGTTGTCTGCACTTGGCCCGCTCAAACAGGTACCCTTTAGAGCTCGGTGGACTCAGAGGCTCGAACAGGTACTCCTAAGAGCTGGGTGGACTCAGAGGCTTGATCCCGTCTAAGGCAGGTACCCATTAAAGCTGGGTGGACTCAGGGATTCGAGCCCGTAATACGAAAACAAGACTATCGGGAGAATAGTCGAGGGGGTGGGGGCGTAGTGCTGACCACAAAATCCCTTCAAAAACGACAGAGAAACAGGTGGAACTTATTTTATCCGTTTTATAAACCACTTGGTTTGAAAGTGAATTTCACTGTTGGCTATGGAATCCTGGAAGACATTTTTTTACTAAGCCTATTGATAGCTATTTAGATATTTAGACAATACCATCAAAACCTTGACATTACTGGTTCATTTCTATAACTATCAATATAACAATATATTTTACGAACCAATTTCTACAGCATCAATGTCTGTAGAAAGGTTATATTAAGACAAGATCGAGGGATAGAGGCAATTGCTAAGACAATATATTTAGACATCTTAGAATATTATACATATGTGGGTATATGTGTATATATATATATATATATATATATATATATATATATATATATATATATATATATATATATATATATATATATATATATATATATATATATATATATATATATATATTGAATGACAGAGCCAAGCTGACGAGGAATGGAAGTTCGCCAGATCCAAATTATGGATCAGCTATTTTGAAGACAGCGGCACTCTGCCTCCCCCGTTCAATGTGATCCCCAGCCCCAAGACCTTCTACTACATCGTGCTGTGGTTCAAGAACAAACTCTGCTCCTGTTTCTGCTCCAAGGCGCAGAAACGCAACAGGTGGCAGAGTATAAAGGTTGGTAACTCTGGTGGGCAAACTAAACCAGCGGGTTGTCGTTACTGGCTTCTGTTTTAATTATAAATTATCATATCTTGTAGATTAGAGGCATTATATGAGATTATTCAATAACTAAAAGATTACTCGTTTAAAAAAAAACATTTTTATATATTAAACCTTATGATTAAATTATTTATTACTTTAAAATTATAATTGCTTCCTGCTTTCATTAAGGTAAGGAAATTAGAATAATCTCAAAGCCCACAGGAGACCCCATATGTTTTTCAGTTTTTTGGTAACGGTATCGAAAAATGCATCAAACATCAGATTTTACTTATGTTATATATATTAAAGTAGGCCTATGGGTCGAAGTATTCTTTGGCTTAGACTAGAAAACTAGACAGACGCCAAAATTATCCAGGAAAAAACTAATTACAATAATTAAATTGACTCAACATTCGGAAAACAGGAGAAGATCAAAGGTGGTAGAATTCAATTTAGAAACTAATTGAACCTAGTCCTGAATTATTTATTTCATCAAAAGACCATACATTAAAATTTCTTATATTTTTATAATTGGCCTAGAATATTTTTGTAACAACTTCTCTAGATTTTACTTTCTTACATGACTAATCTATGAAAATCTCTCGATCTATCAAGCAGATAGTTTCTTCCAATTTTTCTATCATAAAGTCAAATTTATTCCAGAAAATTGTAAAAAAGATCAATGAAAAGGAGATCAGATACCAGGTAAGTAACGATTGATTCAGTAAAATATTTCTATCCCGTTTTTTAATCAACACTTTTTAATTAATTAGAATTTCAATATCGTTAACATTGCAACATGAACATACACTTTTTTTAAAAATAATTTTAAGATTAAAATTTGGATTTCCGCCTATTTGATGTTTGGTGTCCACTTACAGCAAGTAATGGCTAGTGTGTAATCGATCTATTTCCGTGTAATATTTAACTCAGATAAGCAAAAACAATCAAACTTGTTTCTGACCACCGTTTTATTTCAAATTCAGCTAAACGAAACATTTACAACCTACAACTTGGTGCGATATTATCTTCTCATTGAAACATCAAGATTAAGAAACCGCGACAAAATTATGGGGCTACAGAAAAAAATGAAACGCTTCATTTTTTTTTTTAATCTGAACAAATAAACGATAACTAGAGCTTTAAAATTTAGAAATACAATTTTCAAACAATTTAAATTTTGGAATTCCGATATGTTAAGGCCGTGCATTTATTTATTTTTTACATTTATTATAAAGACTACATTGCTTGTAATAGAAACTATTTATTTTTTGCTACAACGCTTTCGTGGACCATTTTTATTTGTGAAAATTAACGTATTGTACATTTTAGTGTTTAAAAAAAACACTTAAATGCTCATCATACCTAGCATTATGCATAACTTTTATGAGTTGACACCCAAAAACTTTTGCTCAAATATTGTTCAGTTTCCTCAGTTTATATTATCACAAAATAGAAATACCACTAAAGCACTATAATATAACAAGTACACAAAAAAATGTGGGGGGGGGTGGAGCTGAGCCCCATTATAAAATTTGGCGGGAGTCGCGATTTAACGCGTCTGCTGTAGACCCTCCACGATCAGCTTAAAATCTTTTCGTCTTTTTCTTTTAACTAGGTGTTAGTTAGGCGGCGTGGTCTTAAATCTGCACCAGTCGAATCTTTGATTTTTTTTTTCTCAAAGCTCCATGTTATTTAAAATCTTTTTTTGGTTTTAGAAGTTGAAAGAATTTTTCTTTATAAAAATTCTAGTTAGCTTCTTATGCTAACCTAGCTCTACCAACTAAGGGCTGAATGCAGAGGCGTAGCGAGGGGGAGGGGGACATATGTCCCCGGGCGCCGACCTTAGGGGGGGGGGCGCCAAAATGGGTTGGAAAAACAAATTGAAAGTTTGAGGGGGGGGGAGCATAAATCAAAAGTTCGAGGGGGTGGTGCAAATCGACAGTTTGACGAGGGGGGGTGCAAATCGAATGTTTGTCCCCGGTCGCCGGGAAGGGTCGCTACGCCTCTGGCTGAATGTCTGCACTGCCTACGCACGCATTGACTTGATGAAAATCTGGCTAATGATTTCTAAATACTCTTTCTTTATACACAGTTCTTGACATCTGGGTTAGTTAATGCAGGATGGTATTTATTTCATGTTTTGAACTTTCTTGACATGCGCATTACGTTATTGCTAAACTGTGCGGGGTTTTTTTTAATGTGTGCTTTAGTTTAACTGAACTCGCTCGCTCTACCTGAGTTTATAGTTCTGGAATATTCTTAATCACAGTGAGGAGATTTCTAGATATCCGCAGTCTTTCTCATGATTAAGAGCTGTAGATGTCCGCCGGGAAAATTATATTAAAGAGTGGTAATCTGGATTTGTTTGTCATTATTACGTCCCCTTTTAAAGTTTTGCATAGAAGAGCTAAACACCGAAAAACGTCGATGCAATTTATTTTACCAAAAAGTCAATCAATAACATTTTACGGGTTAAAGAACAAATTTTGAGCATCAAGAATTTATGTCTAACACGTTTTTGATTAATCAACTTAAAATCAGAAAAAAAAATGCAATGTTTTCATTTATTTCAAATGCATTCAATAAAGTTTTGTACTCCATTGTTATAAAAAAATAGTTTCTATCAACAGAATGTTTTTTTTTTTAATTTCGCACATGTAATTACAAGCACTGAAATTTTTAATTGATAAAAAACGTTATTTCATTTAACTAAATGTGTCAAGCAATTAAATAGCAAACTTTTTTTTTTAAATTGACCTCGGCAATGTTTTTTGTTACTAAGGGCTTCACTTCTCAATTTTGTGTTAGTTGCACATAATCTCGAAGGTTTTCTCCGAATATTAGATTTTCAATAATGAATAGCCTTGAATGAAAGTTTTTAAACATTGAAATGTACATTATCCTATTTAAAAAGTATGCGTTGACACAGAAAATGACACTACTGATTTGTTTCTTTGTTTTGTGCATTGAGAATTCAAAAAGGGGGGGCTGGTCACATGATGTGGGCTTTGTTGTTCTCATTCTCTTGAGGATTTCGTTCATGGGGCATCGTTATTTGATGTTAACAGTAAATCGCAGCACTGACTGATGTTGTCAGAACATCTCTGATGTTTACATAACATCTCTGATGTTTCATCATTGACTGATGTTGTCTGAACATCTGTGATGTTTCAGCACTGACTGATGTTTACATTACATCTCTGATGTTGGATAAGTGACTTGTGCTGACAAATGTTAGACCACAACTCTCACGATCTACCTAAGTTTATATAAATTGTGCACTTTTTCTTAGTATTTCACTAGAGTAGTGCTCATAAAATTGTACCTTCTGCTATAAAACAGTTTTAATTTTGGAGTTAAAGCCGCCACTTTTTTTAAGGACTTGGACTAGGACTCTGCAAAACTCAGAAGTTATTTATTCCTTATTTTGCCTTCTCTATAGTTTTTCACAAACATTTCATTCTTTAACTTTCACTCCCTGTGTTGTATAGGTATAATTGACTGGTGTCGACTCCAAACTAACAGTGCTCCATAGCACTGTGTGTTTAAACTACATCTATTTAAGGAAAACTAAATTACTGTCTATTTTCAAACATAAAGTAAAAGGATTTCTATTTAGAATCATGAAGCCTTTTAGCTGTTACTCTAAAAGTAAAACGGTTTTTACTGGGAATCGAAATGTATTTTAGCTCCAACTCATTATGTAGTGTTGCTTTGAGACAGAAAAAGTTAAAACTAACTCCTAAAGCATTTCAGCTCTGGAATCCTAAATTATTTTAGCTCTCATCCCAAAAATGTTTACCTGGAGTCCTAAAGTATTTCATCTCTCACCCCTAAAAACGTGTAAATCTGGCTCCTAGGCTGTGATGCGTGATCTCATCAAGCGCTACATCATGCAGAAGCAGAGAGGCTCTCAGAAGGGCGAGGGCGTCAACGAGGACGACATCAACGAGCTGAAGCAGGACGTCTCCTCCTTCCGGTTCGAGCTACTGGAGATCCTGCGCAACAACGGCATGAAGACGCCCAACCCGAACCAGCCCAAGCCCACAAGTAAGAAATTAAGATACTGGAAAAGTTTGGTAGGTAACGTCAGCGTTGATTCCGTGGGCAGCTCAGAGCCAGAACTGGACGAAAGGCTCTAAATGGGATCAGGGCTCTGGACAGCTGACCACCCAGATTATTTCAGATTGACCTATTTAGATGTGTTTATGAAATAGGCGGGGACGTGTGTGTTCCGCTCTATGCCAGATATGTGACATGCGTGTATTGGCCGGTTAAAAATAGAATGTACATAAAATTTACTACTGTTTAATCTTTAAAATACAGCACATCTGAACAAAAATAATGATTTTTAAGTATGAAATTGCTTTAGAACTTCGATTTGACGATTCATTTGAATTTTTAAATTTTGGCTTCCAATATCTGTTCTTTCTGATAATGCTGGCAATTTAATATAAGAAAATTTCTATTCTGCAATACTTAATTATAAGCCATTTGTTTAAGTTTCTCATTAAAAGGGGATTGTTTAGAAATCTCAAAAAACTAATGCTAAAAATAATTTTAAACAATAATCGACACGTAAATCCGATTGGCCCGTTAAAAAACACACAATCCGGTTAATTTGAACCAGCTAACCTAAAGGTCACAGTTATTTCCTATTGTGTTACATTTAATTCCCAGGGTTTGTATAATTACCAAAAATTAACGTGATGTACATACAATTATGGTACAATCTTTTTTTTTTTGTAACTGACTTGATTCATAAAGTCAGATATGGTTGGTAAAATAATTTTTGCCTTTTTTTCTAATTATTAATTGGGTTTCTCTTGTTTTATTTTTGTTAAACGTATTAATCAATTTATATGATTTGTTATTGATTTTAGGGTAAAAATGTTTTAGAATGTCTTCCGTATTTTATTTACCTACCCTACCCAAGTAGAGCACTGTGCATGGCACAATTATAATTAGTTATCTACCTTTTCCCCTTCTTATTTGTGAAACAAGAAGCCCACATTTTTTTATCTGCCTGTATGTTAATCCTAGAGTTTATCTTTCTAACACATAGAATCTAGAACTTAAAGATTTTATAATAGTGTGAATCTTAATTTTTGTGTAAATAGATTTATATAGATCGGTTAATTTTAAATAAATTTCATTATCTTGTTAAATAACAAACAGAATATTAATTTATTTAATGCAAATCGTAAATGAACTTTGATTTTATTCTTTGAACTATTTATAATTTTTACTTTTAGTATTGCTAAGAAAAGGCCAATCTTTACTCTAAAATTGTGTGTAAATGTGTAATGTAGTAATAGTGGTGTTGTTGACGTTGTGCCATATTGAACAGCCAAATATGTGTTGTTGCTTGCTGTTGTCTTAAATTGGGCATGGGTGTAGAAGGTCATATATTATGTCGTCATATATTATGTCGAAGCTTTGCCTGTATTACTTTTGGTAGTGTATTGGTTGTTAATTTTCAACTGCCGAGACTGTTTGTCATTGGCTGCTTAGTTTTTGTTCCCAAGTTTTGGTTTGTGGTTTTTAAAGTAAAGTTTAAAGATCTCCAGCATAGGCCTGAAATTTATAGATCTAGATTCTAGATCTAGATTTCTAGATCTAGGAAACACTTGTTTTTAATAGTTCTAGATCTAGTCTAATTACATGCATTTTTTTGCTCCCCATGAAAATATTTTCCTCTCAGTGTGGCAATTATTTTTTAGTACTAAAATAAGCTGAATAGCCTCCCTTTTAGTACAAAATTTTAGAATTTAAATGTTAAATTCTGAAAATACATAGAATTAGATCTAGCAAAAAATAGTAAAATAAATAAATTAATAATCAAAAAACTATTTGGCATTCACATTAATTTAGTTAGTATTTCAAATTGTATTTACTAATCAATTAACTTAATTAATAATTAGTTACAAAATACTTTACTAATTGCCTAAATTCTTGATCTCTGCAAAAGTTTACAGCTTTTTACTTTAAACTTTAAAGTATTTAGAAGAGCAGTTAAAAGTTACATTATTTAATAATGCAATCAGATATGTTTGACAGAAAAAATAAATCTACTCTACAGGTTAGAAATAAAGTATGGTTGAATTGATTTCAAATGGAAATCTTTGCTAATACAATATATTATTAATATTAAAATGCCTCTTGAAATATACATTTGAAGTAGTATGGTTATATTTATGTATATATATATATTTCCCAATACATAATATAGAGGTGTCTATATGGTTTTCGTTACTCTGCTAAAAACTTTGTGTTTTAGTATTCAAAGAAAATTGATATACAATTAGACATAAACTGTCATTTAAACTGTCTTTCAAAGTATTTGCTTAAAGAAAAAGATGGTCATGCATGAGTAGAATTCTGGACACTTAGCATTAAGTCACAATTACATCCTGCACCATCACCTAGCAGCTAAATTTAACTATTGTCTGAATTTTGTTGCTCAGATTAATCTGTTCGATTTGTTTTCCAAATTTAGATCAGGCACTAAATAAAAGTAGCCACAGAAAATAGTTTTCTTGAAGCTCTAATAAACCAAAATAAATGTAAGATTGTATAATAGAATTGAAGCAGGATTTAAATGACTTATGGTTTAATGCACACAAAAATGAATTACAGAAGTAAAAAGGCTGAAGCATAAGATTCTATTCTATATGAATATAGAAAAAAATGTAATAGTTTCCATCAATATCTTTTTTTTTAATTTTAGTTATTGTGTATAACAACAAAATTATATTATTCTTGATCTCATTAGAGAGAATAAGTGATTAAATATTTATGCTTGGTGTAATGTGTAATTGTTCTCTGTTTGTTTAGTTTAGCTTGCTTATCCATAGCTATCCTTAGTGCCATTTGTTAATAAAACTGGATTGCAATCAAATCATTTGTAGAAAAAGATTTTATTACTGAAAGATGAAAAATGTTTTTTATATTTAAAAGAAAGAAGAAGCAATTTTTTTTCATTGCTGATTACTGAAAAGCAATAAATTATTTTTACATTTAAGAGCATTTAAATCTATTCTTTTAATTTACTATAACTGTAACGTAGCTTAATTTGAGATTTTATTTAATTATATATTAATGTATTTTTTATAATCATTAAATCTACATTTATCAACATTCATTTCTCTCTAATTAAGATAAAATAAGATGTTGGAAAATGTCTCTCATACTTTGACACTTTAAGAAGGCATTATTTACTTTGTCCTTCCAAGTAATATTCATTAATTAGATCTGTCTTTTTTTTTTAATAAAACCCGGTTGAGTGTCAAAGTCATTTGTTGATTCAACTTAGCTTTTGACAAGTTTTAAAAATAAATGTTTGTTTTTCCCTAATGGTGTTTCCAATTATTTTTTTCTTATAAATCTCAACAATAACTAAAATTTCAAAATATAATTTCACAATTTAAAGTGCCCTATCTCTTTGATTTTCTTAAACCAACAGTTTAAAAACTTTTCAATTATATTTTGTAGTTCAAATTAGTTAAACCATTAAGCAGAAGAAGAAAATTTGTAAGTAAAGACATGTAGACATTTAGGCATTTTTTTATTATTGTAATGGCATTGGAGATAGACATGCAAAATTTTAAAAACATTGGTTTTGTTAAAGCAGGTTTAAAATGACAGCAAGATTTCATCCAAGCAGAACAGAGGAATCGAGTTTTATTTAAAGTAAAACAAAAACCATCCACAATGAGAACAAAAAACTGGTACACTCTTTCATCACTGCTCGCAACATTTCTTCTAAATATGGTTTTCTATGTCTAAAGAACTCATACTTGTGACTTTTCTTTATTATTTTGCTTAATGGTTAAGCTAATTAGTCTCAGTCAGTTAGGGAGAAGAGTGGATACCACCGGGATGGGAGTAAGTGGATGAATACCCTACCACGGTTTTGGGTTTGTTGAATGTGATTTCATTGAAGCTGTATCAAAAATTGTTTTAGCCTATTTCAATTAAATTGTCAAAACAATTTCTGAAACTGAGTATATTGATTGAAATAACTCTAAAACTTAATATTTTTTTAAAATAATAGAACAAAGTTAACTACCCTTTCAACCAATGTCATGTGATAATAGTTATTTCATTTTTTTATGTTAAACTTAAAATCTGTGTAACATTTACTGAAACCTATTGACTAAATGCCTTACAGATGTTTTTATATTGTTTACATTTGTTTAGATGAATACAGTTTTTTAAGTGTCAATACTTCTATGTACCTGTAGTTGAATTGTGTATTTAATGTTGGTATGGACATTGCTGTGCAAGCTGCAATGATCAACTGCTGCAAAGATAAATTTTAAATCAAATTCAGGCAACTGAATTTCGGCACTATAGTCGCAAAAATGAGCAGCTGAACAGTTGATAGTGTATATTAAAAACGAGCTAAACAATTTTCCTCTTAATAAAATAAATTCCATAATCAAAATTTAATCAACAAGTCTTGTAATAACTATTAATAATTAAATGTTTTGCAGTATTTGTATTGTTAGTGGTATATGATATATTTAAGGATAATTGTAGCATTTTTAACCTACATATATTAATTTTAAATGTTATATTAAACAAAAATGAGAAAAGTAGCAATTTTTGTTCTGACCGGCTAAATAATTTTAAAAAGTAGCTACTTTGTTTCTGGCTCAATCAGAAACTAGTTAAACTGGTGTGGCATTCCTCCGCGCACAGTTCATAAAAATAAAAATTCCACAAACATAGTTAAGGCCTTAGTTATTTAATTTGTCATCATTAGTTATTTGAGAGTCAACTATTTGTAACATGGCAATAATCTCTGTATGGTCATTTATTACTTAAATTAACTAAAAAAATGTACCAAAAAAGATTGATAAATGAAAGAAATAAAATTATAGGAGATGCTTAAAAGTGTAAAAAATTCTTTAAAATAGCTAAAAATTAATTAATGTTTTGTTATTAGATTTTAATGTTATTTATAACTCAGTGATTCCTATTGCACAGACACATGAAAATTTGTTTATGTTGTAAATAAATTGTATGTAAAAACAGTATGTTTAATAACTTTTTTTATTTACTTTAAAACTGATGTGGATTTATGAGCTGACCATTTGTGTGTGATTCAACATCAATTTTTGGCTGAAAACATAGGGTTTTTTTTTAATTTAAATCTGGTAGAAAATAAAACTATATTGATGAAATTTGGTAAAGTACATTTTTTTTAAATCACACTTTATCTATTGTTTGAAATCAATTTTATTATAATCCAAAAAAATAACTTTTTATTTTTTTTTGTAAAATATTTTTCATATTCATGTAATAAATTATCAAAGAATTGATGTACATTGAAGAATGTTTAGAATTATATACCGTAATTAATTCTTTTTACAGCATTATTTAAACTGAATCTGTTAACTGTATTTTATAAATAATATTTTTCAAGTTCATAAACTATTTTTGTTTAGATGTATGGGAGAATCTATTTTATAAAAAACTATCACTTCTTATCTCCTATCTCTCTTTATAGAACTAAGAACACAATAAAAAAAACAAAAACACAGATTGTAACTTTATTTAGTTCACTGGGAAGCCATGTAATAATACTCTAGAAAAATTAAATAGATTTTTAAGTAAAAGACCAGCAGATCAAATACTAAAGTGATTTTTTAAAAGAACTTAAATTATAATTGTAAATTTATATTTATAAATATAAATAACTTAAAAGAAACCTCACACAAATCCTACTATGTAAACCATACACATATTCTCTTTTTCTCCATTTATGTGACTGTCTTTATTGAGAGTCTGTTACATAGAGCAATAAGGATAAAAATAATACATTATTTCAAGCAATTTTATGGTATGCTTTGATTTCTAAAACTTTAATTAGTGATAACTTTACTGAACAAAATAAATTGTAAAAATATAAATCTACCACTTGTGTAGTTCATGTACATTTTTTGTAGTCTGTAATTTGACCAAAACTTAATCAATATTAAGGAGGTCAAGATTCCATGTTTGAGCATTTTTAATTTTTTTTTTAAAGAACATTAAAAGTGCTGAAATTAAACATACCAAGTTATCAAGTTTTATATATACACTGACACACTCACTGACACACACACACACTTGTGTATGTGTATATATATATATATATATATATATATATATATATATATATATATATATATATATATATATATAAGCATTTTGGACATACAAACACAACAGGGCTATGTATTGTCCAGGTTAAGTCTAGGAATGTAAGTATTGATAAAGATATGTAAGTTTAATGGAATGGATAAGTTTATGATCACTAATGGTGTTGTTGCTAATATTGATAGTTTCATGAGCTTTTAGTGAAAAAGGAAAAGATGTTTTTTTTTTGTTTTTCAAAATTTAAAGCCAAAAGTTTAAACCAGTTGAAAATACTATATCTAGAAACTTTGCATTACGTAGTAATAAAAATTCCCTCAAACTAACCACAAGTTATTTATTTTCTTTTTTTTTTTTAATCTATGAGTTTCTGCTGTTGAATAAATTAGATATTCTAGGCTGTCCTGGCTACATAAACAGTTTGCTTAACGAAAGGCTGATGAGACGAATGAACTATTTTGAATATGACCTGACACCTATCCAAGAACGATGAGAAAAGAATTTTAACTAACCACAGTACAGCCTAACGGAATGTTTCATATTTGCTGGCCAGGAATACCTGTTGCTGATTGCATTTCAAGGTTAGATGGGAGAATTTTCATGAAAAATAAAATCCAGAATGTATAATTACTTTTTTGAGCCCAAAACTGAAATTTTATAGCATTGTATTATATTTTAGAATTTTTTTCTGTATGTTATGATTTTACTTACATTTTGTTTCCTAGAAAATCTAACAAAAAAATTAGAGGTATTTAAAATGTTTACCATAAAACTTTGTAGTATGCCTACAAATTGACCATTAGGTGACTTTAACAAAATCTTAGTTGAAGGATTAAATCAGTGGCATACATTGAGGGGTGGTTGTGCCCTCTGTAAAGTTTTCTGTCAGTAGTCCTGCATATAAAGAGTGCCAAGGTATGTAGTTATGCCACTGGATGAAATAAAATATAAAATAATTATAAATCAAAAACTATTTATTATCTATCAATGTACTTTTAAAACTATAAATATGTTTCAAAATAAAGAACATACAAATAGTTTCATCACCATTATTTTTCTTTTTATGACAAATAAAATCTTGAGCTTCAAGCATTGTGTTTCCACCTTCTTATATTTTTTTAAAGATTATTTTATTTGTTATGGCTGGCTTGGTTTCACTTCTACTAAAAACAACTTTGTTTGGTTATTGTGCATGTAAGGCTTGAATTTCTGCATGGCTATGTTTAATGTTAATATTGCATGTGACTTTGGGCAATGCGTCTTTAGTTCTAGCAGCACTAAATGCATGCAGGTTAGGGGAATGCTACGGTTGTGTTGATTTTATATCTGAGTGTCGTCATTATACGCATGGGAAATAGTTATGGCTTGGCATGAACTGCAACTTTTTTTATTTTTACTTTTCGCGTTCTTTCCCCTGTTTCAACCAAAGAAATTTTAAACTGGTATAGATTTTAATAAACTTCGCTTGTTTAGTCTAAAGTAAAAGATCGGGATGTTAGCAAAGTTATTTTTTGATGACATAAAAATAACAAAACGTTATAGTTAAATATTGCGTGAATCATTTCAGCACGTATGACTTACGTTGCTCTAAATTGCTCTATTTTTCAAGGTGTTACTGACCCAAATAGAGCTTTGTGAAAATATAGCCTAGTGCTTTGCAATTTTAGCATTCAAGGGAAATAATCCATTTTTAAATTAACAATATAAAATACGCGTATTGTCTCCCTCTTTTGAAGTTTATTATTAATTTCCAAATATGATTCAGGAACGCTAAAATTATCCCTAGATCTAGATCAATTTTGTAAAGAAATTGCTTTACCTGTATTTTTTGTTTTTCATTTTATACACGCGATGATAAACTTAAATTGACTAGTAAAGTTGTTTATTTGTAAGACACATTTTATACGTGACTTAGAAATATTATTTCATGTTTTGGTGCACAAAAGCCTAGCTAGTACTTCCTACCTAAAAATGTTTTCTTTTGATTTTGTTTTAGATCGTCGTCTGTCTCGCAAACGAAGTCACGTGTCACTTGACCGGCTGCGACGGTCCATGTCACTGGAGACGTGTAAGGTGGACAGCCCGGGCAAGACGCCGGTTGACGTCATCCTGGAACGGCAGACCAACAGCCTCAAGTGCCGCTACAACCCCCCGGAGACCATCCCCGAGGAAGAGATCGAGCGCATCCGGAGAGAGTCCCTCATACCGCGGGTCGGTTTGCTGGCCGGCGTGGGGCGGAGAAGATCCTCGGTCACCCTGCCGGAAACAACTTCCACTTCCGCTACAACGACGCTGCTCAGCACAGCCACATCGCTCGCGGCGTCCATCGCCAACAAAACCCTCCCCGTCGCCTCGGGGAATAAAAAAAACGTCAGCGCCGCGGTGGTGAACGGGAATTCGAACTCTGTCGTCTGCGCGGAGGACATCGTTGCCGCGGTAACGGATTGTCAACAACTTGAAGGCTCGGACGGAAGTACGTACTCGCAACGTAGGGACGAAGGTTTAGGGGAATCGTTCGATCGATACTCGGAGCTAAGCGATTCCACGTCTAGGATTGGGGTGGTGGGGAGCGTCATTGAGCTTCAGACCCTCCACTCGACGGGACACAACTCGCCCTTGCGGTACCCCAAAACAATGACCAGCGCCCTGACCTCCCCGAACAACAATCGCCGCCACGGCGGGGCGCCATGCTCGAACGATACTGACGACGACGATTTCGACGGTATGACCTTTATCGCCAAATCTGCATCGGAGGAGGGCGATACCGATCCAAATGGCATCGATCCCTTGTCCTTTCTAACGGAAGCCCAGTCTAAGCGCGTCACGTTCATGTAAACGAAATTGGAATCATCTTTCAAATACGACGAAATTCGGAATTTAGAAGAAATTCTCACAAGCTGTTCGGTCAGTCTTGACCCTATTCTCCAGTGGCTGTTACTCTCCAACGTATTCCCCTTACAAACCCATCTATACATATATACACTGTCTGTGAATGACTAGTAAGCTTCTGATATATTGGAAACCCAAGGCTGAATATCAAATGAGGGTGGTGGCATAACAGCAACTATGGAAATTTAGCTTATTTATATAAGATATTAATCTACTTACTTAAACAGATAGATAATAGAATATATATATATATATATATATATATATATATATATATATATATATATATATATATATATATATATAATTACCAGTTCCATTTCGAGTGTGTTGTGTGTGCTTTTGTCTGCCCTTAATACAGTCAAGTCTAGAGTTTGGTGTTTGTTCTAATTAGCCTAGACAGTATTAGTTCTGATAAATCCATGTCTGCAACTATAATTCTCATTATATTTTAAAGACAGATTAATTCATCTGTTTGTTCTCTTGTGGGGGGCTACTTTTTCCTACTCGTGTGTGTGTGTGTGTGTGCATAGCACATAAAAAATTAAAGACGTGTTCATTTCTTTTTTTTTTTAAATCACAGGTCAGAATTTAATTCTACCATCGCGGGTTTACTATCAAAATCTGAGGCTCTAATTATAAAGATCTAAATCAATTCTGTACTTTTCCCCGGGGAAAAATGTGGTTGGCTCTCACATACTGAGCTGGAATAGTCCTATAAGGGCTTTGGTTCTTTGTTGGTTTTTTTTAATTATTCGTTGGTATTTCTCCATTTTATATTTACCATTTTCACCCCCTCATACTATAGAGTACAATTCAAGAAAAAAGAAAAATTGAAGAAAAAATACACAATGAAAATTTTTATCTCTAGTTGGGTGTGGTGGGAGGGGGCTTTTTTTTTTAATTTACCGGGCCTATTCAATACAGCCAGACTACTCCTGATCTAAATGACACTTTGTAAATAACATGTCTAAACTAGGGTTGAATCTTTACCACTTCATGGCACTCTGAGCGTCAAACGTAAAATCTGGCCAACTCCCTCCTCCCACCCTCAGCAAGTACTAAATGACATAAGGTGCGGTGTTGAAATATGAATATTTGGAAAGCGTCGCGTTGGTTTTTAATATGTCAATTAAGTTACAGCTATTGGCGAAGGCGCTTGTTTTTCCATTTCAAATGTATGAATGTAATCAAACCGTGATTTTGCATTCTCAAAATCGTTACAGAATATATATATATATATATATATATATATATATATATATATATATATATCCCAGGTTGTTGTAAAGTAAAACTATAATAGCCTGCCATCCCTAGGGTACCGTTTAGTCCGTGTGTTCTGTTGATACTTTAATGTTATGTTTGACCTAAGCCTTCTCTAGTCAAAACCATTCTCACCATAAACATACGCACATTTGGGGGCAGTTATGGGAGATTCCTAATATTATTCTGTCATCTACCCTTTTTTTTTGGTATCATTAATATGTCAAGGGTGCATATAATATCATACATGTGGATGGTGAACATCTGTATGAAAGTATGTGTGTGAAGGTTTATACATGTATATATATATATATATATATATATATATATATATATATATATATATATATATATATATATATATATATATATATATATGCAACCTTTCAACCCCCCTTACATCCATTTACATTCTATATTTCACTCAACATACTATTTACATAATTGAAGTGTTGTTATAGATAGGAATGGTAACTTGTTGCTTTTGTACATTGTTGATAATAATTCAATACACGCATAGTTGTACACAGTTTAAAGTAACCTTTTTAAAAATGTTATTTCGTGTGCTGATATCGACTCTGTTTTCCGACCTCTTGTTTCACTCTGCTAAAACTTTGTTCAAATTCTATATGAGGTGTGTAACTTGTATAGTCAACACAACCAGCTGTCTAAATGCCTCTTTAAACGTACATAGATTTGTATTTGTATACATATAGATATTTGCGTGCGTATACATATATATATATATATATATATATATATATATATATATATATATATATATATATATATATATATATATATATATATATATATGGATAACCAACGGCCATTATTTTTATATATCCTTGACATTGTGCATAATTAGACAGACCCTCTGTGATAAGACGGCTTACATAAAAGATATCATGAATCTTATTGAGATGCTGCTGCTCATCCTGTATCTCAGTGTGTATGTGAAAGCAAAAACGATGTTTGTATGGATGGATGTGAGTATAGTTTAAAAAAACAACTTTAGTTGACTGTTTAAAAACAGCCAGTGGTTACTACAGTAAACATTGTCGTGTCCTGATAGTTTGTTTTAAAACAGCCAGTGGTTACTAAGGTAAACATTGCTTTTTCCGGATAGTTTGTTTAAAAACAGCCAGTGGTTACTAAGGTAAACATTGCTTTTTCCGGATAGTTTGTTTAAAAACAGCCAGTGGTTATTACAGTAAACATTGCCATGTCCCGATAATTTGCTTTAAAACATCATCCTTACCCTGACTGTTGTTCCATCGCGTGATATCTTTTTTGGAAACTGTCTAATTTCTAAATGTTGCATCAAACTACAGATCAACTACAGTCATATTTATCTCATTGTTTAGTTTCTCTAAGATGTACAACTAACATGATACAATATCAAGTACTGCCACTGTAATCTTGATTTGTAGTAACCAAGACAGAGGTTTTTTGTTCAGTCTATAGAGAAGAATTGAACACTTAAATTGTACATGAGTGATAAACGGTGAATAGAATTAAATTAACAACTAACATAGGATTTTAAAAGACGACATTCTCTATCAAAGACAAAGTTGCTATACCGATGACTAACATAAAGTCACATCAATATCACACGTTAATACTATACCATAATTAATAAATACTTACGTTGAACACTAACACTTAACAAGATGTAATATTATCTAATCTATACGAAAATATTACAGCCCATTTACACCACTAGCAGCATACGTTTTTCACCAAACAAGGCAATCTTTCTCGTGTAATGAAATATTCAAGTGATCAAAGTAAAATTCTATCTGATTATTGTTCTTGTTTTTATTATTGTTCTTGTTTTGAATGCACCAATCGCCGTCTTTCTAAAAAATTAACCATATATTTATATTATATATATATATATATATATATATATATATATATATATATATATATATATATATATATAACACTTGAAAATTAACCATATATATATATATATATATATAACTTAAAAATTAACCACACATATATATGTATATATATATGTGTGTGTGTGTAGGGGTAGTCGAAATCCATATTGAACTTTTGCATTTGAGATTTATTTTTATGATTTTCAGCCGAACGAATGCTGTTTTAAAGCAAAAATTGGGGCCTACACAAGGCCTAAGTCTGAATGAATTTTAATGTTCAAGTTACCTCATACTTGAGTGGATTTTTTTTTTCGCTTCAAACTTTATTAGGCCTACGGCTTTTGGGCCATCTGATTTCGGATAAAAATGTTCTGGGAAAAGGCGTTTGAGGAAATGGTGGTTGGACTATCGGGGTTCGGCGTGTTTCACCTGGTTAAAATTAACCAGAGTTCCCCGCCGAGGGCTGTCCTTGTTTCGAGAATCTGTGATGTTGGCCTGTCGGGTAAATTTTCATCATTTCAGAGTCTCTTTCATGCACGTAACGTTCCGTGTGATCGAGAGTAGGCCTATAGTAGACGTCTGGTAAAACCTGTACTGTTTTCTCTTAAAAACCCTAGTTACCTGTGTTTGTGTGTTCATGTCTTATATTATCAAGGCTACCAAATTATGTCTATACATTTGTGGATGAATTTCGCTTTGTTTGAAGATATATTGACATTGTTAGCAAATATATAGAAAAATACGTGTAATTATTAATAAAAATGTGAGTTTTAAAAAACCTGATTTGTTTCGTAAATGTTACTTCCAAAAGTATGTATTGTTTTTTTTTGTTTTTTTTTTTTTTACATTTTAATTTGAAACCACTAACAATTTATTTTACCTTACTGTACTTATATGAATGGGATACTGGGTTTTAGTGTATCTCAGCAGCTCAACATCATGGATAAAATCTCGAATAATATTACCATAGAGGTAGGATACGGTCACGGGGAGGGGGTGTTGGGGTGGTCTGACACACACACACACACACCTACAGAATCGTTGGACCAGTCCAGTGACACCAGTACCTGTATCTCAAAATCGCCAGGCAACCCAAAATTTGTTTAATTGCCACATGTAAAAATGAGTAGCTCTACTTCACCTGTACCACGAAAGTAACAGGAACCAGGGTCGACAAGAAGTGCCTTGAGATACATATCACTTAGACGCATGGCGTCGTTTATGGGCGAGCCCTTATAGTTGAATACATCGACACTTGCCCTGTTTTCTTAACGGTGTGTATATTTTGTTTATTTTGAGTAATGTTAATAAGGAATTTGCATGAAAAAGACTTTTTTTTCTGGCATTAAACGGAAAATCATCAGATTCTTTAAAGCTTACGGTAATAATTAAATGTTGCTACATAAGTAAAAGGCTATATGCTGTTTCTCAGTATTTCGGGAGTGGGTTATAATAGAAACGCATAGTTTGTACGATCAGAGGGGAGGGGGATTTGAAGGGTAATTTGTTACGTCCCCTTAGAGCTCCTACCACTAGACTTGCATGAAATATGTGCTGCGTATATTGAGGGATAACACCAGTGCCTGTCACTGAGAAGTAGGAACACGCCATGTGGTACTGTAGAGGCGGTGGCGGGGGTGCTGACCGCACCGGTTGACACCATTCAGGGGGGTGACACCCAGAAAAAAAAGGCAAGATAAATACAATAAATATGTGGTTTTTTTGCCAGTTCATTGAATTGTGCGTTAGAGCTAAAAAAAAAGTATTTTAAGAACATAATGAAGATTCCGACAAGGAAGGGGGGTGGTGACAAACTTTACAGAGCAAAAAAGTGAATGGTGACACCATGTGGTGCCGCATCTGGTGACACCCGGCCTAGCGACGCCACAGTTGTACTGTAATAAATCTTACTCTTAGCTTAAAACATTTTTGAACACCATTATATTGACGTGCAATATCTGCTCAAGTGTGACGTAACGGGGCTCGGCATAGTCTGTGTAGCTCTATCATTCGTGGTGATAACAATACGTCGGCCATTTCCAGTTCCGACCTATTACTATCCCGAGCCCGAACCCCTCCCCCCCCCCCCCCCAAGAGATGCATGGAAGACGCTCTGCCCACCTGTAAGATATCCTTAGCATACCCATGTACTGTCTTCCTGTTCAGTCTTTGCAATTTTCTCTAAAGCGACCTGCGCTTCAACAAGTCTTCCTTTGACAGCAAGCCACCTGATACTCTCTGGGAAATAGCTGCCGATTGAGCTCAATGAATACCTTATTCATTATTACATTTATTTTCAAGTTAAATTCCTGCTTCATTACATCATAAAAGTATTATCAAGAAAATAATGAAAATCTGCAAATAATATGCTTCAACAAAGTCTTTCTACAACCGTTTAAAGTGAATAATACACTTGATATATCACTTTCAATTGCTAAGTGTTTCGGGATCCGAACTCAAACCAGTGTTTCTTTCAGACTTTTTTCTCCTGGGGGAGGGGGAGAACTTGATATTTTCGGGGGGGGGGGGGCGGACTAAGTTTTCCTGAGGGGGAGGGGGCGGAGAGTGGTAAAAGTATGTTTTTTATATTTTTATATAAATTCCATTTTGTTCGGGGGTGGGGGGGGGGGCGGTAGACTTTCTTCGCCCCCCCCCCCCCCCCCCCACCCGGAGAGATGCCTGGAACAAATACTGATTGGACACACGAAAATCGATGTCGCTAAGGCTTAGCGTAATGTGACTATTTCTCAAGGCGATTGTAGGAAAAAAAAGTCACATGAAAAAAAAACAGGAAAAAAAAACACAGAAAAAAAGTCACAGGAAAAAAGACACAGGAAAAAAGTCACAAATATATATTTGCATGGAATTTGTTAATACATCTGTGTATTAAATATTCAGAGTGCAAATTAACTTAGAATTAACTAAATGTAATGTAATGTGTGTAGATTGTATGCGCATGGTAATTTTTATAATTCATCTAAAAATATTTTGTATGAAGTTTGTAGATTGTAATTATGTTAAACATAGTATTAATAACATTTAATAGAATGTTCCAGCCTCCTTGGTTTTCATCATGTTTTGTTTTAAATATTAACATTCAATTACCTTGAAATGGTAAGTTATTCTGACTTGCTGCCCTCAACTCATCGCAACAATAGTTATGGTTAGTTCAACCACCTTTACTGCCCACATTTATCACGCTCATTACATAACAAAACTTAGGATCAAAACTGAAAGCCGACAAGGTTCAAAGGCTGACATTGACACAAAACGTCAACAACACACAATATGTTAGGACAAGGCCGACTGAGGAGAAGCCCAGTGTTTCTTCCATCTTCCAGACTTTTTTCTCCGGGGGGGGGGGGGGGGGGGGACACTAGAAATTTTCGGGGGCGGTAGACTTTCTTCGGGGGGGGGGGGGCGGACACTGTTAAAAGTATATATTTTATATATAAATTATATCAATTTTATTTCGAAGAGATGCCCGGAAGAAACTCTGGAGAAGCCGACCAGAGAATAGCCTGCGGCAAAACATATGCAAAACACAATGATGTGCTTAAATTTATTTTATAATTAACTTTTCTACCGCGTATTTAACTAAATACGTAACAAAAGATGAGATTGTAGTGTAAATTATGTTAGAGTATTTTTACTTAATGCTTTTAACGTCTATAAAAAGGTATGCTTTAAAAAAAAATAACCAACAACAATAAACATACAAAATTTAACTATTCTAAACAAATAAATCAAAATATTTCTGAAAAGATTTTTGTGACTTTTTTTTATGTGACTTTATTTCTGTGACTTTTTTCCGAATAAATTTTTCCATTGTGACTTTTTTCTGTGACTTTTTTTCCTAGCAAAAACTGAGTGACTTTTTTCTGTGTTTTTTTTTTTTTTCCTGTGACTTTTTTTTCCGTTCACCTCTCAAGGCTGCATCTCGCATTACTTACCTACAACAGACCTACTTTAGCTAAATTTTCTGCCGAAATGTAGGCCTGTGTGTCGAAAGCTTGATGATATGTATTTTATAACTGTATAAGTATAAATATATCTCTAAGAACAGTATAACGTAACAGCTGGTTGCACGCTCGGTGATATCATTTCATTATTTATATATTGCACGGTCGACTGGTCCCCTGTATTATTTGTATTACTCCCCTTTGCCTCACCTGTTCTAGGTAACACACCAGTGACCTAATTTAACGCCGTGGGACAGTCTCGTTAGCCTAACGGAAGTGTCCCCCGAGTTGTTGATATGCGTTACGATCACCATTTCCGCATCGATTTCGTTTAGTTAAATTCACATTATTTGTATCTTTTCTTTAATTGTATGTTAAAAGTGGGACGATTGATAGACTCTACATGTTTTTAAGTGCTTATTCGACCTGACCCAAGTTGGCAACAAAAAAACAAAATGACAAACATTGGTAAAACAGCTCATGTTTCCTTACCTTTGTTTTTGATTCTTCTACTTGGAGTTCATCATTGTGAGTAAAATGTAAAAACTTGAATAGATCTACTTCTTAGTATTTAATTTTAAAATTTATTATTTTTACAAATGAGTTGTGGGCCAATCTTAAATTATTAATGACAACGCTCTTTTTTCTAGAATCTATTTGAATTCTACCTACAAGTAAGATTAGTATTAGTAATTTACTAATTTTAATTTAGGCTATAACTATATACTATACTATGGTGTGGTTAGGGTTACAAAGCTGAAGAGTGAATAAATAATAAACAGAGGCTAATATTCTCATTAGGTAGAGATGTAATATTATACTAATGTGATATTGATATTATATGTATTATATTTTTTAATAATAGTGAATAAAACTAATAGCCTAGAATCTATTCTATACTATTACTAATTTATAAATTTGCTAATACTTATACTACTTCTTATAGACTTATAGTTTATAGTACTTATTACTTATTAGGCCTATAGTATATAGTGAGTCCCACTCCATAGCTTGCAAGTTAAAGGTTTATCTCATTTACAAGATAAACTTGATGTATTTAATTTTGTAAAAATATCACCACACATGGATGACTATCAGGGACTTAATGACAAAACACATGCTAGCCTTGACCAAACTGTCACTATATTGTTTTCTAGAATTAACAAAATTATATTTTTTGAAGACTCGACACACAAAAACATTAGTCACTCAAGATTTGCCTCAGCTGTCTTGACTTGGCAAAAATAATTCAACCTTAAAAAATATCTCCACAGGTGTTGCCCCCAACTGTTTCTATTGTAGTTCAAAAGACAATGATAAATGTGGTGATTATTTTCGGATTGCTATGAGTGATAAACTACATGTGACTTACTGTGACGTTGGTAGCTGCATTAAACGTCGAGGTGTAGATGATAGTAAGTACTATGCAAAAACTAAATGTATGAAATAAATATACACAGAAACTCACTAGTTACCCTGGCCAATAAATTATAACGAGCTATTTTAAAATTAAGTTTCCATAACTAGTTTTTCAGGCCATCCTACCCATGGTATTATCAATGCATACTCATATGTGTGTGTATATATATATATGTGTGTATATATATACATATATATACATATGTATGTACGTATATGTACATATATATATACATATGTATGTACGTATATGTACATATATGCACATATGTATGTACATATATGCACATATATACATATGTATGTACATATATTTACATATGTATGTACGTATATGTACATATATATATATACATATGTATGTACGTATATGTACATATATGCACATATGTACATATGTATGTACATATATGCACATATATGCACATATGTATGTATGTATATGCACATGTATGCACATATGTATGTACGTATATGCAAATATGTATGTACATATATGCACATATATGCAAATATGTATGTACGTAGATGCAAATATATGCACATATGTATGTATGTATATGCACATATATGCACATATGTATGTACATATATGCACATATATGCACATATGTATGTACGTAGATGCACATATATGCACATATGTATGTACGTAGATGCACATATATGCACGTATATGCACATATATATGTACCTATATGCACATAAATGCACATATGTATGTACATATATGCACATATGTATGTACGTATATGCACATGTATGCACATATGTATGTACGTATATGCACATATATGCACATATGTATGTGCGTATATGCACATATGTATGTACATATATGCACATATATGCACATATATGCATGTATATGCACGTATATGTCTGTATATGCACATATACATACGTATATGCGCATAGATGTATGTATACGTGCATATATGCGCATATATGTACATGTACGTGTATATATGTGTATATATATGTGTATATATATGTGTATATATATGTGTATATATGTTTATATATGTGTATATATATTTATATATACAAACACAGAATTCAAACACGGATAGTCATTTCTGGCTTGAACGGGTTTTGAAAGAGAAATGTTGTTTTTTTCAATTTAAACTAATTACAACATGCCATGTGTGTGAGTGAATTAGTCTGTTTTGAATTTATTATTTTTTTTTTAGATTTAGAACTAGTTTATTCAATTTTTATGCTATAATTAAATTCTGCCTACCCTCTAGACTTTTGCCTGTCAAAAGAATATAAAGCGTGAAAGCTTTGTATGTGTAATGGTTTCTTGTGTTATGTTTATTTTTATGTTTTTTTTTGTATTTATATTATTTGTTTTAAATATATTTCCTTTTTATGCTATGTCAATCTTTAGTATGTATTTTTTTAAAAATAATACTTAAGAGAAGTAATTGCTTTTTAATTTGTTTAGTATAAATATATTAAAAAGAGCTTATGAGCACCTCTATTTAACCATTTAAAAAAGGGAAATAAGTCATGGAAGTGTTTTGAACGTTTGCCTATCTTTCACACTACAGCTCAGGCATACATATTTTTTTACGCAACAGCATCACTTATGTACTGTATAACATCACTACTGTAGTGGATCTGTCTGTTATTTACAAAAGCTTTTACCGTCCAGTAAAAAATGCAAGAAAATTATTATTTTTAACTATAAAAAATGTATTATGGTCAGCTATGGGCCCCTAAATGGCGTGGCCCCCCCCCCCCCCCCCCCGCATTGCGGGTCTGGTGGCACTGTAGTTCCGCCCTTGCCTGATCTTTGATTTCTGGAATTGAAATTAAAACTTCAAGAGAAAAAAATTTCCCCAACAAAAATGGAGTAGATTCATCTTTTTGCCTCTATGGAGCTACTTATATTAAACAATGTATTGGCCTACTTTTACTTTCTGTTATTCAGATAACTCAGTGAGACGAGTTGAAATAACCAGAAGTTGTGTTGCATACAGACAAGAAGGCTGCCGCAAGGAAACGTACAACGGCATAGACACAATCAGTTGTACATGCAATAGTGAATTCTGCAACAGCTCCACAAGGGCACACTCCCAGATGTTTTTGCTGTTCTTCAGTTTCATATGTTTCATTTTGTTACGTGGATCATACATTTTTTAAAACTATGTTTTGGTTATTGTTAACTAATTCTATTTATTATTTAGAAAATTTGTAAATAAGAATTTTGAAATGTTTAATTTGCACATGTGTTGTTTAGGCAAAACATTTCTAAGTAGAAATAACTCTGTAAACAAAAACATTACCAATTATTTTTACCTAAAACTAGTAAAAGAAATTGATAAGCACACATACACGTTTTATATTATTATGATTGAAATTTTTTTACAAGATTCTTTAGTTCATCTTTACACTATTTTTCATCAACTAAATCGAGTTTTATTTTTTTAATTATTTCAAATTAATCTTACTATTGATAAATAGTTTTATTTTTATTACTGACAAAGTACCTAATTCACAAAATAAACACTGAGAAAGTAGTTCACAAGGGCTATTTAACTTCTTTTTTGCTTTAAAGAGGGACTCAAAATGAATACTTAAGCATTAAATCAGATAGTCAAAATGGAGTAATAACCATTGTTTGGTTTAATTTTTTCACAAAATGTGACTTAAGTACTTTTTTTTAGCACTAGGCTCTTTTTTTTTATTTGTAGTTTTAATTTTATTTAAATTAAGTCGGAGGGGAAAAAAATGGCCAAGTTCCATAAAAGTATTTAAGTTATTGAAGATAACTGATGATGGTGCAATAAAAAATATAATGGCTCAATTGGACTGAGCTGTATACTGCTGATTGAAGAAACCACACAAAAAATGTGTAGCCTTTTTAATAACATAACAAAGTGAACATACCTGTTTATTAAACATGCTTTTTTTGTCAATGTGTAATAAATATATACAGATAAACTGGATGTAAATAACAATGTACAATTGTAAGAACATTCATATTTGAATAAACAAAATGTAACCTGCTATACATACATAAAGATGTCCAGTAAAACAAATCATTTAAAGTTTTCATATGATGATCTCACAACAATTTGCTATGATTCCATCAATACTAAATAAATGTAATTTGTACATATTTTTTATACAACTTTATCTCATTTGTTTATGTTAATAACATAATAAAACAACTAAGATGCTATATACAAGTGACTGGTTATCACAATTTTTTAAGCTTGAAAAACGTCTACATTAATGTGTAATGTACATTTTACTTCACATGTGGAATGAGAATGAAAAAGACTTAACTGGCTAAAATCAGATTTTAACAAAAATGGAAATAATCCATTGGGTTTTTTTACTTTAAAAAAATCCTGATTCATACATTTTATTACTGTTCTTGTTCAGTAGAAATATGTAAGTAGAAATATATATTTTAGAATTTTGATCAAACTGAAAATATTCATTATTATGATTCAAAATTATTTTGCTTCCCTACTTAACTGTCCCTGTTTAACCAAATTATTTAGCCAAGTGGATGAAATCAGTTATTGCCTTCAGAAAAAAAAAATACTTCATTGGAGGTAATGACCAACTATAAACTATTCAGTCATGGATAATAATTATTACAAGATGAGGCCAAACAATCAACTTATAAAATTTAACCTTAACTTTTTGATTACATCAAGCTTGTTGACTTTGGCTAACACAATGACCATCCCTAAATCATGATCCCTCTTCACGCACTTATTGCATAGCTTTTTTTTCTTCATTTTTTTTTTCCCCTTCAATTATTTGAAAAAAGTGTACATGAAAAAGTTGTGTCCTTTCAATTCAAGAAACTGAGATCTCAGTATTCATTACCTCAAGGTAGCTAAAATAACATTTAGCAATAAACAACCTTCATTACTTATAAAACAATATTTACAAAAACTGCAAGGGGCTTATAGATCTCGGCTAAAATATAATTAACTAAATTCAACATCTGCATTACAAATCTTCAAACACTTCCATGCTTGCCAACTGAAGGGTGCGCTTTATCACAGTTAAGCTCAGACAACTTGAATCATATTTCAGTAAAAAATATTTGCAATAATGCAAGATTATAGAATTCTATGACAGCTTAAATCATTTGCCTATGAAAGCAAATTAAGCTAATAAAACAGCGATAAATATTCTGCAATAACAAAACAGGTGCCATGTTAACCAGTAAATAACAGCTTAAATTATCCCATTAAGTTTTCACAGATAACTATACAGACTTTGAAATCCAGAAAAGGTAAAAGATCTAATAGCACCAATTGCAAAATAAATAAATAAACCAAAGTTGGTTCATCAATCTTATAATTGTGACAATAAAGAGTCTGTTTTCTAATCATGTATAACCAATGTTTTATCAACTGTCTCCAGACCCATCCTGTTTAATATGATCCCCGAGGCTACCAACAGCGGAGGCTGTCACCTCGATATTGTTAGCTGCAGCTGTTGGATTTATCATGGCTGATGGTACAGCCAAGCTGACGATGGGGAGGCTGGGGAGGGAGTGGGTGGCAACACTGGAGGTTACGAGCAGCTTGCCCACAGTTTGTAGCATGTTGACGTTGCCAGCTGAGACAGGGACCTGGGTCATGTTGGCCAGCTTCATGCCAGGTGGGGGAGTTATGATACGCGCATACACTGGTTGGCCCTTTCCTTTGGGTGACCCTCGTCCTGAAGTTTTACTTCCAGCTTGAACAACCTAAAAAATGAGGGGATGGAAAAGGTTAGGGCTAGATTTGTCTAGTACCGCAGTAACTGGGACTATATATAATGAAGCTAACAACTGTACGGTATACTGTAAGTGGGGGAAAGATCGTTCATTTTTATTAAGGTTAAATTTTTAACATTTCATTAAGAAATACATAAATCTTTATTTATTTATATAATATGAATTGTTTAAAAATGTATATATATATCTACTACAAACAAGTATAATAATCAAATGTCATACATTTTGAACCATCTAATTTTGTAAAAGACCTAGATTTATAAAACCAAAAACCAAAATAATACAAAAATAATTTTTTTGAAACCCAAAATATCAAGTGTAGAATGGACCAGGCACATACCTGTGCTGCTGTTAAACCAGATGCAGAAGACATAACTCCCTGCTGTAAAGCAGGTTGGGATATAAGTATAGTAGCTTGACCTGGCTTTAAGCTACCTTGTGAAAGAACTGTCCTCATCATCTGCATTAAAAAAAATTTAAACTGCTACTAATTTTAAAGTTCATGGATTATATGAGTCACTTGCAAATTTTGTGAAAAGAATTTAACATTTTTTTAATTTAAAAAATTAATTAAATACCTGAAGATTCTGAGCACCTTTTACTCCAGGTGCATTACTCACAATTATTGGACCTGCAAAACAAATTATTAAAATAAATGTGTGCAAAAGACACAGTTGTAGCATCATTTTTTTTCTGTGTTAAGCATTAAAAATATTCATCAGCTTACCTGAAGAAGATTGAGTTGTACAAACACCTGGGGCATGATGTAAAATAAACTGTGTGGGGACTAGACCTGTTTGATTTGTGGGAATAATTTTTGTCTGAGAGTTTGCTGGGCCTGCTGAAATGGTAAGAAGTAGTTAACACAGTAGAGATAATAGCTATATTAGCTGAATAAATTCTTAGTGAGGGAGTAGAATGAGTTGTCTTACCTGATCTAAGAGTTAGGTTTCCTGGTGCAAGCTGTGTCACTACAAGGCCAGCTTGAGTGGGGTTTAGGATCTTGGCTTGAGTAGAGTTAGGCCCCTTGGCAGCTGCTGTAAAAACAGCAGTCTGAGACGCTGTGGGAAGTCCTGGGGTGATGGTGGCTGTGGTGATACCAGGGCTTGAAACTGAAGATGGTGATGATGGAACTGGTGATGGGCTACCAACAGCTGGGTTTAAAACATACAGTTTTAAATAGTAAGTAGCGATCAATATTTTACAAATGTATTGGGTAACTCCGGCTAGAAACAAAGTTAATTTGGCAGTGAAATTAATTTATTCTTACCAACAACAGTGGCAGTCTTCCCTGAAGCAGATGACACAGTAGGGATGAGATTGATGGTAGATAGAGGACCTTGTGGTGTTCGGATTAAGCCTATGTGTTGACCACCTTTACCAGAAAGCTGGACTAATCCTTTGGCTTGAGCAAAAGGCTTTCCCCCTATGTGTATAGGTTTCCCACCTATCACAGACTGAACAAGGCTACCACCTACAAAAGACATGAAATAAATTATTTAGATTCTAAGCCATTTAAACTCTACATACATGGGTACTTTGCCAGCAATTCAATCAATACTAAGCTAATCAGGCTCTTAATCTTATACTGAACTTAATCACAATTTTCATTTTAATCCTAACATAGAGATATTGCAAAAAAAAATTCAAAACTTAAGTCTTTTCTTCCGTGCATTTTATAGCCTGAACACTCAAACATTCTTTTGTTATATGTAACCTGTAAAAATTATCCTTCCTTTTTGACAAACAACCCTGGCATTTTAAATCATGCCTTTTGACATATAACCCGTAAATTCACAATAATGTCTCTGTGACATACAACCCATAAATTAAATATTCAATTCTGATACATAAATAAAATGGTAATAAATCATTCAATAATGATATATAAATATACATTTATAATTATTCCTGTGTGACTTATTACACATAGATTTGACAATCCGTAAGAAAGCCCTTTTTTTTTGTACATATCCTAGAATGAAAAAAATAGACATACTCTGAAGTCTGATTGCTTGAGGTACACCCCTACTGATCCCTGCATTGCCAGCAGCTGCATGGTGCATGATTTGTGCCATAACAGTGCCCTCTGCACCAGGCGTGGCAGGTACAGAGGTCAAGGCCACCAGTTTACTGCCTGCCGCTGCGGTGGCAGACGTGAGATTCGCTATACCATCCTGTGATAGTATTAATGAAGCCTGCTTCATCCCTGCAGTGGGCTTTGACGAGGATATTGCTGCCTGGTTTTTAGTCACCACTACATTTGGTGGAGGGGTCTGCCTAGCAGTCATTGTGAACGTCTGCTTCTGATTGGCGGGGGTTAATTTACCCACAGCATTGGAGTTAGCAGCTGCCACTGTCTGACCAACAGCTGCGACTAGCGCAGCATTCTGTTTGAGTACGCTCTGTGATGCAGACTGCTGCTGATGCTGCTTCAGCAACTGCTGGTTCTGCAGCATGCTGATTGTCGGCACAGCTAAAGGCTTAGCATGATTTGCCGCTGACTGTGAAGCATTCATGGTAGTCACGAGACTGAAAGTTGTTGCTGTCACAGCGGGCGAGGAGCCAGGTTTTTGCAGCTTGCCTGCTGTGATCCCAGCCGGGCTTAAGCCAGGTGCATATAAAAGTTGAGCAGCCAAAGACGAATTAACACTTAACCCCACAGAAGTCACTGTTAGAACAGACGTGGTAACGTTAGTTGTTGAAGCCACAGGTGTCGTGAGACCTTGGCCACTGGTCAGCTGTTTAATAGTCTGTAGCTGACCAACTGTCGCTGACGATTTGGCCAAAGCAGCTCTGGCGGCTTGTATCTGAGCTATGGTGTGGTTGACTGTGTTGGCTGATGCTGTATTGTTTGTGACAGGACGGACACCTGCGGCCGTGGGCTTCCCAGCTTTGCCAAGAAGAGATGTTGTTTCTGGTGCTGGCTTGGGAGATGGTGTAGAATTAGGAAGTGTGGAGAGGGTGAAGTTTTGTTTTGCTGGTGGAGTTGCATTTGCTGCTGGCTGAGTGACTGGAGCAGCTGGTGTTGTAGAATCTTTAGCCTGTGGGACAAAAACAGAAAAGTATTTCAGTTTTAAATTCATCACCTCTAATCAATAATGCCTAAAAATACACTAGAAATAGATTTTTTTAACTGAAAGAGATGCAAAAATCTACTGACTGCTTTAGGAGCTTTAGGTCGTGACAATGTTTTCTTAGCTTTGACAGCTGCTGCTTGGGCTTGGTGAATTCTCTCTGAAATATTAATGATTCAAAAGGTTACATTAGTTATAAAGGGATGACTCTAAGAACAGGAAAAACATTTCAGTTAACCCTCTTACCAAACTCATCTTCTGTTCTGTTTCGATGCAAATATATCCACAATTTCCGAGTCACATCATACTTCACACATGGGTCTTTCTCAGAGTGAAGTCTGTCAAGGGCTCCACTAACAACAGCATTAATCTGCACATTTGAAATGTTAATATGAATGTCAAAATAGGATTGTAAAACAAACTAATAACCTTGCAAGAACTCTAAAAATGTTGAATGATCTTGAGACAACCCTATTACAATTCAGTTTTTGCTTTCAATGTTAAGATTATATTAGTAAAAAAAAACATTTTTAAATAATTTATCCTGTTCAGTACCTGTGTTTCTGTGACACCTGGAGCAAGAAACTGGGAATCTTTTAACAGTTCACAGATATCTCCTCTAGTACCTTCACCATTAGGGAGTCTTGCAGCAGCATCTCGAACTGTTATTTGTATTTATAAAACAAAACGTTTACATTTAAAAACTACTAATACAATAAAAACAACTAATAATGTTCACAAAATTACTTTAAACTATACCAAAACATACTACAAAACTAATACTAATCTTTTATGACAGTAACGGGGAGATTTATTAAAATTAGAGCTATGGATACTTTACAATGAATTAAAAACATCTAATTAGCTACATTTCCAGCAGTTTGTGACTAGAAAGTATTTCTACAGGAATGTAAAATCTCACCTAGCGTCAGGATGGTGACAAATGGTGGACGATCAGAAACTAAAAGGTTGTGTTCTCTGGCCTTATTTGTGCCACTGTCCTTGTCATAAACTCCTTTGACTGGCCCCACAACAGAGTCGTAGCCATGCATCATAAAAGTAAAAGCCTTGTGTGGTGCAGCAAATCTTCGTCGCTCCTGTTCCCTGAACAGAGCTTTTTCATTATTGGAGGTGGGCCTAACAATAAAATTGGTTTTGCTGGGGATTGAAAAATTGAACATTTAAACAGCTAATTTAATATGATTGAATCAACTTGTTGGGTTGTTTGTTTTTGTTTTGTTATTCTTGAATGAAATGGTAAAAGAGTGGAACAATTGTGAGTATGTCAACAAAGACATTTGTAAGCCTCTCTGATTTGCCTAATCCTAAGGTTTTGTTAAAAACTTGAACTATTCTATAGGTCTTTCTTTTGTAATGCAGAATTATTTTTAATTTTAGAAATGAATTAGTTCTAATTTTAAAAATTAGCATATTGAGTTATTTATGAGCAATAACTGAATTATGTGCTATCACAAAAAAAAATAATGCATAGTTACGCTTTGGGTGGAGGCGGTGATCCTTGTGTAGCATCAAGACCATCTACAGTGACATCATCTTTATGCTGCAACCAATATCGGAATAAGGAAGTCAGCTCTGGATCTGAGTCTCTGCCAACACCAATCCATTTCCATTGCTGAGCTCTCTCCTTATAATCCACAAATGGTATGAAATTTTCAACTTTTAAACCTGAAAACAAGATTTTTATTGGTCCAGTTTTTTCGGTAAAATTAAGTTACTAAATGTACCAAAAAAAAACAAAATATATTTATATATATCAGAAACAAATTTCGGCATACCTAGTTCATTTCCAGAAAGAAATTTAAGTGCAGAAACGACTAAATCCACCCAGCTCTTCTGCAATGCTAACCACGGATTAGATATTTCATCATTAAGGTCAAGCCATTCTCGAACACGATCCTCTATCTGTAATGATATGTTTTAAGTATGTAGCACAGAAAAAAAATTATACATAATGTAATATGGACATAAGTGCAAAATTTTATAAGAAATACCTTGGGAGTTGATCCTTTTCCATCAATAAATTCAGACAATATATCCCGTAACAGACAAAAGAAGTTAGTAGCAGGACCAAATACTGCCCTTGAAGGTCTAAATTTTAAAATGGGTTAATTTAAACAAGGAAAAATTGTTATCTACATCAAGAGGCAATTTTTAATTTTTAAAAGTAATAAACTAATGTTTTAAAAAATCTATCATTAATTAAAATAAATGAAAATAGATATGAGTTGACTGACACTTTTAAATAAACTTACTCTTCTGATTCTTCATCAACGCCGAGAAAGCTTGACCCCTGGTCCAGCCCAGAATTCACCAGGAGGGAAGGAATGATAGCATCCTCTTCTTCAGGACCAGGCAAGTCTTTCACCTTTGCTTTAGTTTTCTTTTCTTTAGATTTCATCTTTATACGCTTTTTCATTGTGGCTGGATTACCACTACTTGTGTTTTCACCAATAAGAAACTGTGAATCTAAAATACAAAATAATTTTTTTTAGCTTGTTATAGGATAAGCTGGTTTTATGGTAGATTTTTTCAAAATATATATTGTAAACAACAAGACTTAAGTAAGATAATGTGTTTAATTTACCTGAGTTAACTTTGGCATTCTTTTTATTAGCTTGGCACCTTGTTAGAATATCTTGCAGTGTAATATTGCTTGTATTAAGTTCAGGTAAGTCCTGAAATTATAAAATAATAGATGTGTAAAAATACTTAAAATATAGTAAATATAAAGCAAACATTTAAATGCTTTCTGCTTAGTTAAGCAGATAGAAGTAACTTTCTTTTATTATAAATATAAATGTATATTCAGTTGAATGTAATTCACCTCGAAAAATAAATATCTAAGAATTTAACAGAGAGAAGATGTACTACTTACAGGATCAAGCAATTTTTTCTTCTTGTGAAGCTTAAGCATTAATTTGTAGCTCTCTTCAGTCACCTCAACTGGACTAATAGGACGGGGTCTCTTGTTATTGGAGGTGCTATGTAGAGGACTGTTAGCAACCACATGATTTGATGAATTAAAATCTCCATTTACTACTGGGGGTTTGCTGGAGAATGTTGATACCACACTAGGTAGGGTGGGTTCCGGCGAAGGGATGGGACCTAAGGATTTGAATAGTTGACGTCTACTTCTCTGAACAGGACCTTTCAAAAATTCAATTTTTTATTGGAGTAAAACATGAAGAGACAGCAGTTTATTTGGGGGAATTAAATAATGTATGCTGACTCAAATAATACTTATTTAACACGGACGTTAAATAGACACTTACTTGAAGTTTCATCATCTTCTTCTGATGATGTATCTGGGACACCACATTCATCACGCACTTCCTTTAAAATTCTACAGAAAAAAAATTAAATATACACTATACTTATCTTCACACTGGAAGAGATCTTTCGAAATAACTAGCTGGTGAAAATTTTACAACCTCAACTTCAGATAAGGATTAAAAAATATGCACTTTTAAGTAGCTTCTTAAGAAGAATGTTCAGTGCTGAAAAGATTTAACATCTTTTGATTCTCTAAAATGGTTGATCTAACAGGACTTTACTAAGTTAAACAGAAAATTTACGATGAACAGACCTAATAGTTTTCTTTTTCACTACTTGCTCCATCTGGGATGCTTTCTTTTTAGGTGGGGGTCGATACTGGAATCTGATTGGCTCTCCAGGAGCTAATGTTGATGCATGTTCAAACAGAGCCTAAATGATTTAAATAAATATTAAATTGAGTGTCTCAATCATTCATAAAATAGGACTTTTTACAAAGATGAATCATTCAATATTAATACCCCATTGATTAAAATATAGCTGTTTTTTATTATAAAATTTGTTAGAGCTATTTACTTGTCTAGACAGGAGTAAATGTTTAAGAAGATCTGATAGATGGCGCTGCTGCCTCATTTTATAATCACGATGACGAAATTGACGAGTTTGTTTTCTGTATCTAGCTATTTCAGGGTGCAAATATCCTTCTGAAAAATTAAGAAATCTAAAAATTACTTTCACTTTTTAATCAAGCTGTATAATAATCTTAATAAAATATATTCATCAAATACCAAAGAAGAGCCATTACACTGTAGAACATTTTTTGTGTACAAACCTTTTAACTTCTTTTGTAACTCTTCCACCGGATTCCCAAATTTGAAATTTTCTCCATTGAATAGCCTCCTACAAGAAAATTGATGGTAAGTGTAAGATAATACAATACATTTTTTTCAAATTATTTTATTTTATTATCTTCTTCTTGCCATTCAGTTAAATATCAACAACATCACGCATTTTTATAGTAACAAAACCTTTCTTACAACATAATGGAACATATGTGACCTTATCCTAAACAATATAATTTTTAAATATATCAATATGAACAAAATGATCATCTACCTTAAGGTTTCATGTTTTTCTTCCGTATCATTGACAGGAAAGTTAGGCAATAATGTCTGAAAAAGGAAGAAAAAACAAATGATATGATACATAAACTACTAAGCAGGTTTAAAGGGAAAACTACTAGTATGTAAGAGGCAGTTACCTCAAGTCTTGCCTTCTGGCTATCACTTAAAACTGTGTCCCATGTCTCCAGCGACAACACTGATGTAAATATATTTTTCTAAAACAAAATGAACAAAATGTAATGAATATTCTGAAACTAACAAAGTAACTAAACTCATTATTCAAACTGACTAAAATTTATATGTGCATTACACATTTACCAAGCAATAAATGTAAGCTTCATGTAAGCTAACAAATCCTCTCAGGACAAATAAACATTATACTTTTATACAACTTGCAATTAACATGTATATAAGTTGTGATTTACGGCTTGAATGACAAAGATATAATTTCAAAATCTCACCTTTTCTAGAAACAGCTCTGGCAAATGTAAAGTTTCTTTACCAACTTGACACTGTTCTGTTCTTTCATCTGGACCAGGTATCAAGCTAGACCAGACATCATTGTCACTGTCCATTTCCTCACTCATTTCTTGATCTGTGTCCTCCATTTTTAGTTAAACTGTGTAGTACAAATAGTAGTAAACCAATTATCAAAAAGGCTATTGACTTACTGAGAAACTAGGGGGTCGGCATGGTCGAGTCAGTAAAGACAACTCCAAAATCAAACAATTGCTCATTTGCTGCCTTGTAGTTTGTCCTTGGTTGGACAAAGGCTATGGAAGCAAATCCAAAAAGAAAAGCAGGCCAAAGTCGGAGTCAATGGCCTCAATGGTGCATAACCAGTTGACATGTATACTTAATTGTGGTGGAGGGGTTCTCTTCCAGCACTAAAATTAAGAAGAAAAATTAAGAAGACTGAGAAACTGATTCTATCCTCAATAACAAGAGCTATTGGAGTCAGATGAAAAACACATAAGTCACCATTCATAATTCTAGTAGACGTAAGTGAAATGTGGAATAGGACACATCTGTTAGAACAAAAGCTGCTGGAATATGGTTATATGTCTAGGTTATTATGATTTTTACTTAATATTTGGTTCTGTTAAAGGCAGCAAATAGGTAGGATTGCTGAGAAAGGGATGAATAATTTTTTTTTTAAATCATGTGCCATTTAAACAGACATGATAGTTAAAACTTGATGTGTTATATGTCATTTTGTACAAATTTAATTAATTTTTAGTTATTAATATTTTAGGCAATTAAACAATATTTGATTATCTTTAACATTTTATAGTTGTTACTCAAGTTTAAGTGGCTATCTTATCTTCAAGAATCTAGCCTATTCACAAAATGGATATTCTTCCAGAAATGAAAATGCTGCGTGATGATGGTTTTTTATCATTTAAAATAATATTTAAGGCATCTATTTAATACATTTATTTAATACATTTACCACCCGATATACATATTGGCTTGTGGGTTTTGGAAAATCTGAACAGTCAGTAGTCTTCTATACAAATTTCTGGTAACCAACAAACCAATTGAGGTTAGTGTAAAAAATAAAAATTTCAAACGTACACTATAACAAACAATCGCAGATAAAACTAAAAAAATAAGTTAAAATCATAACGTACTATAGTCAATACAATAGATATATGAGTAATAGTGTGTAGTAGGACCAGAGATGAAAGCATAAAAACCATGGCAACATGATCTACATAAGTGATGGATTTCTACTAAAGCTTTATGAACTAAAATAAAAAAATAAACATAGATCTTTTATGTTCACAAGCCTTATTAAGATCTTTCTTTCATCTAAAATATACCCTTAAAAATTGAAAATCTATCAAATTTTATATGACCCTTATTTGTATAGATGCCAATCAAGAAAGTGAGATGACCAACATAGTATTTCATTTAAATTAATAGGAACTTTTCTACTGTTTTATTAATATGCAGAAATTACCTAAAGCCAGTTTAGTTACAATGCCATAAAGTACAAAATTAACAATATACAAAGGCAAATCTCGAGTCCCTAGTATCATAACATAATGGGAGTTTTCTGATCATATTTTTAACATACCCATGGTCAAAAGTGATATCACTAATTATTTGCATGTCTCCTCTCACTGAATTTATAATAAATGCTTAGCTAGCCCTGTAAAAAAAATGAGAATACTTGAGCCATTAGGCTTAAAATAAAGGCCAGGCCTTAGCAGACTGTATCTAATTTCAACTAATTTAAAAAGAATAATATTAGGGTATTTAGTTTAAAAAAAAATATTTAAAAAAAAAACATTCTTGTAGAGCTCACCTTATGAAAACAAACAAAATTTTTCTTTCTAACCCAAATAGTTTTTAACACATAGCTAGTCAGCCAATTGATGGTATGAGTAAAACCTCATTAGGTCCTAGACCACACATTTATAGATAAAACTAAATTTTAAAAAGTTAGTTAATCATAACCTAATAAATGTGTTCAACCCAACAGATCTATTACATCATAAATGAAAAGCCTGCAAGAGGGCAGGGGTGAAAAGTATAACAACCAAGGTTGTGCAATCTACATTACTGACAAATTATTACAGCATAATTAAAGCAACAAAGACAAAAATAAATATTTTTAAGCTCACAAGATCTATCAAAATTGGATCATAATTTCACCTTAAAAATATCCTTCAAAAATTGAGATACCATAGTATTTTAAATCAACCTTATTTGTATATGGAGTGCTGATCAAGAGAGGGCCTAAAACCACAATGCAATGCTTTAAAAAATAAAATGAAACCATTTAACGTTTCAATGAATAGGTCAAAATGATCTTTCAAACTTATGTGTTTACCATCAATTAAAACCAAATAGGCCTATCTCTTGAGTGGTATCAAATTTTAATGTGAGTCTGAGGGTCGTGTTTTTAATGCCGATTCAGATATACGGGATAACCCTAAAATAATATGACTTTCCATTTAATTTTTCTGATGAAATTAAATTCTTGCTAGCTTAAAGTATAAGAGGCCTTGACTATAATACTATAATGACTTAGATTCTAGATCTAGCTTGATCTAAATATCTACTGGCTGAGCTACTAAGCTACTTAACTAAGTTTCAAAATCTAAGCTTGAAGTTGGCCTGCCTAGAAGACTCAGAAGTAGAAAGTTTAGCCCCCCCCCCCCCCCCTATTTAATTATTTATTTATTTTAAAAGAACAACAATGTTTGAAGAGTAGGTCACATTTTTTAAATTTCAGCTTAAGCAAATTTTATTATGATTATAGATTCCACTACACTTTCCCATTTAGAATCCAGTCTAGAAACTAGTCTACTCCCTCTAAAAAAATATTTTTTAATTTTGCTCAGTAACCAAGTTTCAGTGTCAACACGCAAAGAACGGTAATCAACCGATTCCTGTTAATAATATTGCTTTCATTATGTAAATCGATGTGAAGTGTACCATAATGAATAAGTTGCAATAATATAAGATTAATACCCTCACCAATTTTAGAGGTTATCATTAATTTTAAATGCAAAATATCCTTTCAAAACCTTCAAAAAAGCGGATACTGGACAGGAGAGAACCATGTTCCGGAAGTTAAAATTCTCGATAATAACTCTGCAGTTGCAGAGGCCGTATTCTAATTCGGCTCTTTTTGCCACTTCTGCCACTTTTGTGGCGGAAGTGAAAAAAGAGGGTTATAATATAATTATGTTTTAAGCAGCTACATTTTTCAACTGCTGAATCTATTGTAATTATATTTATTTATACTATTATTTATATTTATTATTATATTATTTATAACATCAACATTGTAATTGTATATCAGCATTTTCGAAAAATTCTAAACGATTTTATTTATTAAAATCCATTTGTGACCTTTAACAAGTAGGTCTAGGATTAAGCAAAACGGTTTGCGAATTAAATATTAATAATACAGTATTCGTCCACCACTCCATCCCATAATAATACTGATAATCTTTTAATACACCGGGAACCACAACTTTCTTGTTATAATATATGCAGTGTTTCTTTCAAGTATCTCTCCTGCTCTTGTAGGCATCCCCACGCTTTATTAAAAACAAGATCTTACAGTGATAAAATGGCTTTCAGATCATAGTTCAATCAAACATATTGTTCTGAATCTGTCCCGTTCATGTTAAAAGATGCGGTACTTCCACCCACCCCCCACCACCACGGTTATCTTAGCACCTGAGGTCCACTAATTATTGGTATAATTTGAATCAATGGTCAAACTGCATCAGGGGCGTCCTTTGGTGCAACGAGGGTCGTGACACACGGAGCCCCTCCTGCCCCCCCCCCCCCCACCAGCACTAAGTTACCTACATTCGAGTTAAAAAGAGCAGTACACAATGGATACATTGTGCTACGTTAACGCCCGGGTTGGCGCCCGGTAACCCTACAAAGGGGCGGTCGCCGATTGGTGTTCTTCCTCAACTTTGAGAAGGGTGATCAACTTCCAAACAATTTAATGTTTTCATGCAGAACACCACAGGTGTCTGGGCAGTAGTGTGGACAAATCCATGACCCACAATATAGATCTAAGAAATTTAGTGCTCACATTATTTACATTTTGCCAAAATAACTCGAGTCCTAATCAACCAAAATCTTTTTAAAAAATGGTATTTCCGTTCTATTTAATGCCACTTAAACAGAAGTGGGGTTTTACGTCGGTCAGTAAATATTTAATTTCCATTACTATGGAATCACGTTAAGGAAAACTAAGACGGCTAGGCAAAGTACTGACCACACTATCTCTTTATATGCTGAGGTAATTGTTGGTAACTGATCGTTGGGGTGAAGGGCGCTGACACTCAACTGAAAGGTATACAACTGCAAATTTTAACGTCATTAATGTTAAAGGGGTTTCTCCATAATTCACTGTACTTAGGGGTCAGCCATAAATGACGTCACGCTTTTAAAAAAAAGATTTTTAGCCCCCTACCCCACCGTCACACATCGTCACAAAAAGTCAAACCCTCTAAAATTGCAGCTTATTTTTTTTAACATGGATTTTTTTTCTAAAATATGTGCTGAGTTCGATCAGAATAGAGTTTAATAATCGATTTCTAATACAATTTACAAAAAGCTATTTAAAATCGCGAAATAACAGTTAAAATTATATTTTTGAAAATGCAACAGTATGTGACGCCATACTCCCTTAACTTTCCCCCTGCACTTCATTACACAGCCACAAAATTTAGAACACCCCTCCCCCTGTGAGTGTGTCGTCATGTCAGGACGACCCCCCCCCCCCCCTCCCCTATCAAAAAAAGGACAAATCATTGAAATTTCTTGCGTGAAATATTGATAACAAATAGAGTCAAAACCGAAGTCAACCGTTGTTGCGGTATGTTACCAAACTAGGACCGTCAAGAAGACCCTAACTAAGCCTTAAAGTAAACTACAGTTACTATAAATAAAAACATTCGGTAGAGCGCGTTCGCGGGAAACCGCAAAGCACATTTCTCGTTCGGAATGACGTACTTAGTTACCGGGTGGTCAAATTGGAAGTTTTGATGCTAAAATGTATTTAATCAATCTTAGTAAATCTAGGCCTAATTAGGTATATATTAATTTGAAATATTTCCCTTTTCATGGTTTGTAAAATGCATTAGAGATTCTAGCAATCACACGCGACAAGTGTTCATATATTTAGACAACTGTAGGTGGATTATGCCCCCCCCACCCCAGAATGAGAAATTAAATACGAAACACGTTACTATTCTGGCGCTGAGTTCGTTGAAGTTGACAATAACATCATGATAGGCCAAATTATATATTTTTTTTAATTTTACATAAGTCAAATGTGTCTTATGTTTGGATTTAAAATTGAAATTCATTATATTTATAAAAATCGTCAATAAATTTGCAGAAATTTTGTGTTGTTTATTTAGTTCGTGAAGGCAGTCAGTAAAAGATCACACCACACCATAAAAATGACCGCACGTAAAACTGTAAACAAACAGATTCACGACAAATACTCCCGTCTAGCTCATGTATTGTGTTTGACCCAGTTCAAACATTGACAAAAGAAGACATATTTCAGCAGTATATTTTATCACTTTATCTGGCATTTCTAATTACCAACAAAATGGCTTCCAGCCTAGTGTGTAAAGTTCACACCGTGGTCCTGTTTAGTGTTATTGATGCATATGAAAGAAGAAATGAAGATGCCAAAAGGGTTATTGGAACCTTACTAGGTAATTTATTATTCGTTTTTGGTCGTATAAAATTTATATAGATTTAAGTTAAAGGGATACAATTTAACATATGGAGCTCTCTCTAGATTTTGTGAAGTTAACTAAAAAATAAAAATGAATAACCACTGTCGACTGCCGGTCCGAGTGGAATTGATTAAGATTAAACTTCATTTTAGCGTAATTTATTCGCCGCTTTACATTCACCTCCAGTTGTTTTATTAAAACAACTGAAACACACATAAACGTTAGGAAAAGACTAGAGAACCCTACTGAAGCGCGAACACTTTCACTTTGTAGGAGCGAACACTTCGTGCTTCGTCAGTTTTTGGCTCATAGAAACTTTAATTAGCATGTCTCATGCGAAACCACGGCGCCTGCACGTGAACTGTTCATTTATGAACACTTCCGTGTCAAGTACTTCTGTTTTCTCTCAAGAATTATTTTTAGAAATTTTTTAACGTTGCATGGTACGTACATTTCTATTTTTACACCAGCCGGATGAAGTGACCTAGGGTTGGACTTAGGGGCAAAACTTGAACCAATCAACGCTTAGCACTATAAATAGCTTCTATGTATGTATGGAACATCGTTAATGTCAAGGTTAATGGGGTTTTTTGTGCTTGAACAATAAAAAAGGGGTGTTCGCTAACTTTTTTGGCCTTACATTGGAGCGGACAGCAGCACAAAAATATTATTAAATAAGAATTTAGAGCGTAAAAGGGGCTGGAAAGGGTCGAAATAAGGTCAAGAAGGCAGTGAAAGGCGAAAGAGGAGGGGAAATCATGTGACCTGGCTGGTTAATGAACTGCGCGAGCTGCAATGGCTGAATGGGATGAACTTTGGGAGTGTGGGAAAAAGGTTTTATACTATTAAAATTACCTCACAAACAATCAATAACACAATATAAATGCAATAGTTTTATCCCTCTACCGTTTAGTGAAAGCAAAACTGGTCGCCATTTTAGTAAGCGCATGTACCATGAGATACCACGAAAATGAAATTCTCATCAAAATGCTTACACGTATACATTTTCTGAAAGTATATTGGGCAAGGAATTTTTTTTTGATACACAAATTATGTTATATTGATATTGACATTTACAGGAAGAGTATTATTTGACTACTCAACATCTGTATTCCACCCACCCTAAAACCCCAAAAACATTTCCAAAACACATAGAAACTACATTTTTAGATACTAGAAGTCATTAGCCTAGCTTTATAGAAAATAGATAGTTTTATAAACTACTGTTGAGAAGCAATTTTGTATGAATTATTTCATTCATGACTCTTATTATGCTCAATCTAAGAATTACAGTAAAAAATGCATAAATTTTCATTAGTAAATCTAGTTTTTTATTAAAATATTTACTACTGAAACAAAGACCACAAACATGATTGTCTAGTCATCTCTATATTTTTCTCATTGTAATTAATCATATAAAGATGTTCTAAGGTTAATTTATAATCAAGATCGACCATCTGCAGCTTTATACAGACATTTTCAAAGTAAAATATTGAAGACATATTCACTCCCGTTTTAAAACAAAAATCAAAGCTCATGTACAAACAGAAAGCAATCCAATACCAAAAACAGGAAGGAAATTCATTTTTTAATAGTTACTTCCCCTTAACCAACATATATTTATTCATTCGCATTTTCAATTGCGATTTTAATAACGTCCGTAACACCACAGAAAGGAGAATTACAGCAGATGATCGGCCGTTTTGCTCGTGGTTAACATTTTAAACAGTAATTCTAAGAAGGTCACTGGAACTAAAGGAAAAGCTGGCAAGAAAAAACAGAACACCTCAATATAGATAGAGATGGTCATAAACTATGGAGTATTGCAAAAAGGCTAAACCAAGAAGAAAACAGAGCTACTCCCATAGTCATCGACATTGAAAACACGATCAAAACAGAAAAGGATGCAGCAAAAGAATTTATAACCCACTTTAGCAAAGTGGGACAAATAAATATCTGCCACCAAAGAGTAGAAGAGGTTAAAAATCAAACTGAAGTTAAAGAAAAACTACAGAAAGTCTCTCCCCCCTCCTCCACTGGAATGGTAGCTCGAATTAGCAAGAAGGAGCTCGGAGAAGCAATGAAGCTCCTCAAACTTAAGCAAGCTCCAGGCCCTGACAAAATCTCAAATGATATGCTCATGCACTTGGGCCCCAATGCTAAGAAAAAACTGCTCCAAATATTTAATGCAAGCTGGAAATCTGGGAAAATCCCAAATATTTGGAAAAAAGCAATCATGATACCTGTTCTAAAAACAGGAAAACCCAGGAACAAAGTCGATAGCTATCGCCCAATAAGTTTAACAAGCTGCGTTTGTAAACTGATGGAAAGAGTAGTAAACAACAGACTGACCTGGTTTCTAGAATCGAACAATCTACTAGCAGACGAACAGGCAGGCTTCAGGAAGTGCAGATCCACTGAAGACCAAATCACCTTCATTTCTCAGGAAATAGAAGATGGCTTTCAAGAAAAAAAACCAACCTCAATAGTGTGGGTCGACTTTGAAAAAGCCTTTGACAAGGTTTGGGAGCAAGGCTTAATTCTAAAGCTAATAAACCATCAAGTATCTCATAACATGCTAAACTGGATAAAAGGTTACCTAAGCAACCGAAAAGCATCAGTCTCCATGCAAGGAAAAAGAAGTCACACAGTAACTATAAAAAATGGAGTCCCTCAAGGAGGAGTCTTGTCTCCTACTCTCTTCCTCATTTATATAAATGACTTAAATGAAAACATCCCAAGGAGAGTAAAAAGAAGCATGTTTGCAGACGACCTTTCACTAATCAGCACAGAGGAATGTATTGGTACCTCAAAATTTCGTCTTCAAGAAACACTTGACAAGCTCGGCAAATGGACCAAAAACTGGGGCTTATCCATCAATACCAAGAAAACAACTTATTCAATCTTCACCTTATCAACTAAACATCAAAAAATGAAACTTACCCTAGAAAACCAAGAGCTAGAAAAAAATGACCACCCCAAATACCTAGGAGTCACTTTTGACACTCGACTTACCTGGAGAAAACAAATAGAAAACACACAAAGTAATGGGATCAAAAGACTTAATCTAATGAGGAAACTGGCAGGAACAGACTGGGGAGCAAATCACCACATCCTGAAAAAAACCTACACCAGCTATGTGAGACCTACGTTAGAATATGGTGCTTCGGCTTGGGGCTCAGCAGCAAAAACAAATATTAGCAAAATTGACAAAGTTCAGAACATTGGTTTGAGAATAATGACAGGAGCCATGAAAACAACACCCATAAATGCTATGGAGGAAATAGCCGCTCTTAGCTCAATAGAAGAAAGAAGAGAATCAAAAATCCTCACTCATTACACAAAGCTAGAGGCACTGGAAAACCATAACCTAAAACAAAAACTCCAGAAACCCAGTCCATCAACCAGACTACAAAGAACAAGTTTCATCAAAGAAGCAAAGAATCTGAAAAAGAAATATGAAATCGAAAATATCATTCCTGAAGCAATAAAAACTCAAAACCTCTCCCCGCCTTGGATCTCCCACTGTCACTTAACCATTATTGACTCAATAGACACCATAGGAAAAAAATCTGACTATGATCTAGAAGAACTTAAGAAAATAACAAATAAACACATTAAGGATCAGTACCCCAGCAATACCTGGATTAGAGTTTTCACAGATGGCTCAGCTGAAGATGCCACAAAAAACGGCGGGGCTGGCATCCTTATTGAATGGCCAAGCGGAAAAAGCCTGGAAAAGGCAATAGCCACAGGCAGCCTATCTGACAATTTTAGGGCAGAAAAAGAAGCTTTAGAACACGCAGCAAACCTCCTGTCAGAACACCCTGAATCACCGAATAGTCAGATTGTATTTCTTACAGATGCCAAATCAGTCCTGCAATCCCTACAAAATCCGGAGTCCTATATTCAAACACTCATGACAGCACTAGAGAGGCTAAAAAATACCTGCAGCAGAATTGTGCTGCAGTGGATCCCAGGCCACTGCCAGATCCAGGGTAACGAGATCGCAGACCAGCTGGCAAAAATTGGGGGAAAGAAACCACAACCGGAAATTTCGCTACACCCAAAAGAAATAAAAAGAATAATTAAACACAAACAAACGCAAATGTGGTCTGTCACACACCCTCACTACATTAAAGACGACGGCTATTACAATTTAACACGAAAACAACAATACATAATCTTTCGACTTAGAACAGGCCACAACAGACTAAATCAACACATGCACAAAAAACTGAAGGTTGGGTGTAGCGAAATGTGTCCTTGTGGCAAGGCCCCGGAAAACACGGAGCACGTACTCCAGGATTGTACTCTGTATAGCCAGGCAAGAGGCAGACACTGGCCCCAGCCCACCCCACTCAGGGAAAAATTATATGGGACACCTGACAAACTGGAAACCACAGTCCGGTTTGTCCATGAAGTTGGACTTGTTGTCTAATTCCTCCAACATATTCAAAAATTAAGAACGAAGAAGAAGAAGAAGAACTGGAACTAAGATGAAAAATCGTCGGAAGTCATACATTTGGGGTGGACACCATATTGTTGTGGCAACCGGCCACGCCTCCAGGCTAGCAAGCAAGCAATACTATTAATTTTGGCTCAATAGCTGTGCTTTGGGCTCAAATTACCCTTACTACTTACTTTATAATAGCTGTGCAATGTGCTTCTTCTGACAAAACTATCTGTACAGTGTGGTCGTCCAGTTGTGCTTCAGACGGGGGCGTTTACTTTATAATAGCTGTGCAATGTGCTTCTTCTGACAAAACTATCTGTACAGTGTGGTCGTCCAGTTGTGCTTCAGAGGGGGGCGTCAGGGTTAAGCATTCATAGTATTGTTATAGTATATCTTGTAAAGAGATCTAGTTTGTAAGTTAAATATAAAATCTACCTTTTAGACTGCATTTTTCAAATTAACTAAACCCTGTATGTTAAAGCTGTGGGAGGGTTGAACCACTACCATGTGAGAATACCACTACCATAACCAGTCATTATGCCAATACTTATCTCAACAATACAAAAAAATTATTTTTTCTCCATGTCATTGATTTATTTTAAAATATTTTATTGATCCAGCACAAACTGGTTCTAAGTCTTTATATTTCTTAATTTTGTATCTTCAGTTATAAATATTTACTTGTTAAAATTAGAAATTGAGCTTGCTTATTCAATCCAGGAGTATGTGAGAAGGGTGTCGTGGAAGTCACAAATTGTTTTGCTGTTCCTCACAATGAATCAGATGATGAAGTAAGTGTACTGTATAGATTTAAATTTGGTGTCAGATTGGAAATTAAAGAAGAAAAATATTAATATTATTATGTAATTTTTAGTTGATTGGGTTTTTATTTTTAATTTTTAAAGGTTGCTGTCGACATTGAATATGCTAGAAATATGTTTGAGCTTCACAAAAGAGTGAATAATAATGAAACAATTGTTGGTTGGTAAGTAGTTATCTTGTATTTTGCTTTAATTTTAAAATACAGCTGATAAATCAGCTTCATCTTTTAAAGAAAACACTTTTGCATGGACATAAATATATAAATTTTATATCTAGTAATATCTAGTAATAAATTTTGTTCCTTTAAAACTATTTTTGTGGATCTTGTAGTATATAAAAATAACAGAGCATACAATGTTACTTTGTATAAACTTTATGATTGTAAAGAATGTTCTTATTTGCATTATTTCAATTTGTGTATTTTAAATTATAAGTTTTGCTCTTCTTTTAGGTTTTCAACAGGCTCAGAAGTTTCAGTACATTCAGTGCTTATCCATGACTATTACTCTAGGGAAGCGAAAAATCCTATTCACCTTACTGTAGACACATTCGTTAGAGGGGGCAAAATGGGAATAAAAGCCTATCACAGGTAACTAACGCTGCAAGTAATTATTGTATCATGTTTTAGCACTTAATCCTAATAAATTGTAGTTAAATTTTTAAAACAACTGACAAAAGATCATAGTTATTTTTACAAAATAAAGTTTCTCTTTTGGGCCTGTAATCCATGGAGTGGGGAAGGTAGAGTTCACATTTTTCTGTGACCTCGACCTAAGGAGGGATTGTGTGGTCAGCACTATGCCCAGATACTTCTACTGAAGTTAGGTACTCATAAGAGGTGGGTGGACTCAGGGACGTCCTTTGGTCTCAGACCCAGTATCCAAACTTGAGACTTTATGGTTAACTGTCTTCCATCTGACAATGCTTCCATCTAACAAAGCATGCTTCCATCTGACAATGCCATCCCATACAAGTTTTAGTAAGAATTGCATTATATCTTTGCAGCACATCAATTGGTGTTCCGGGCAAAACAACAGGTACAATGTTTACCCCGGTGCCAGTTGAAATTGTTAACTATGAACCTGAACAAGTTGGAGGTAAATATTAAACATTTAAGCTTTAAATAAATGTCTGCTAGTAGCACTGATACATCTAGGGTTTCAGTAGCTATAAAAGTTATGTAATAGCTGCAACGGGAACTTATTCAAAGTACTATTATTTCTCCCTCATGTTTGCTCTTGAAATAGGTTCAATAAGTTTTATCAAATTTTTAAAAGTAAACTCTTTTTATGACACTAAATTGAGAACTGTAATTTCAGTTGAAGTCCTTCAAAAAGGAAAGTACAATTCCAAGCGACTTGTCAAGCTGAATTCTGATCTGAGACAGGTTGAGAACCTATCAGTCTGGCTTAAAGACAGCCTTGTACATGTTATACAATATGTTGATGATGTTTTGGTAAGTTTTATTAACCATTTACCGACCTGAGGATCAAAACTATTTTACTTCCCTTAGGGCCAGGTGAAAAGACTACGCATTTTTCAACCATGGCACTTTTTTAAATAACCACTTCTATATATATAATTCTCTTCTTGGAGACGTTAGAAAAAGAGCTGTAAGCGCAGCAGTCCCCTCTCTTCCTCTCTAGGCATATCGCAACCACCCTCACCCCACATGGTCTGATGAGCTGTGGTTCACGCTAAATGTTTACAATTGTAGAGCCGGGTTTAGTGACGCCTATTAGGGGTACATAATTTAGTTTGAAACTATTTAAACTGGGGGGGGGGTAACTAAGAGGAGGCTGCTTTCACGGGGTGGGGCAAAGGAGGGTTTTAGTGTTTTAAAGCAAATTTTTTCAGTGACAGCAATGCTACTGTCGAATTCACAAATTATGAATTACTGAAAAGTAGAAAATAAAACTAAATAGTGGCGGGTGTGATACGCCGCGGGTGGCTCGTTAGTTTATAAAATAAAAAGCAATGTACGCAAAACTGGACCAAGTTTATTATGCATGAAGTTAAAAAGCTTCATAATTTACTAATTAATAAAAATAACACTAATCCCAGAAAAACATACACAAAACACTATTCTAATATTTCTACAAAAATTTTATTTTAGATGCTAAAAATAAACTTCAACGTTGTCACTGGAGCTACTTTCTTACATTATAAAGAAAGCCAGATTCAATGGCAGAGGCATTTTAATTAGATTTAATTTCTCTAATTATATTGCCGTATTTTGAGAAAAAATTCTTAACTTTAGAAAAATTGTAGAAAACGGACCACTAGTGATAGAACGAGAAAACAAAGTAAATAAAACGTATTATTTCCCGCTTCTGCCAGTATCTTCAAAATCTCGTTACCAATGAGACTTCCGCTCCTACGTGTAAATAAACGTACTATACATAGTAGGGCGCACTGGGCTGTAAAGGGTTAATGCCTTTCTTATTTATGCACACATTAGTAAAACTTTTCTGAAAACAATTATAAAAATCCTTTTCCTTGTTCTTTATTTTAAGCTATATTTTGTTGCTTGATCATGCATTCAGATTTTACATATATTTTTTTTTAGTCTGGAAAGTTGCCATCTGACAATGTTACAGGGAGATTCCTTCTTGATCTAGTTACTGGTGTACCACATATTGAAGCAGACAAATTTGAAGAAATGCTTAATGCCAACATGAAGGTAAAATTTAGAGCCCAAATTAATTCCCCTCTTCCTTAAAATAAATACTTTTATAAACAAAATTTGATATGAGTGCAGTCTATTAGTTAGCTTCATTTGATCCTTTGCCAACGAACAATTATTATTTTTAGAGTTTCGATAATTTCTTCCAGTGAGCCCTTCAATTATTATGTCCATTTATTATAACTTGGGGATGAAAATTGTATTAATTCCTCATGAGCTCTTTTAACATTCATTTACATTTTTTTTATTATTCTTGTATACTCTTGCTATTTTTATATGAGTTCTATCATATGTCCGTCTTTATTACCTTACTTTGTAGAACCAGCTGTGTAGATAGTCACACTAAGACCATTACATGAAACTTAAACTTTGCTCTTCACACACATTTTAAATTTTGTTACATTATTTTAATTTCCAGGACTTGTTGATGGTGGTATATCTGGCCAATCTAACCAAGACACAGCTTGCACTGAATGAGAAATTGAGCACACTGTGAAGCTCCTAACACTGTAAAATAGTCATAAGTTAAACATACAATTTGAGAATAAAATATGCTTGCGCAGCCTGCAATCCTTGAGTTATTTTAGTTATTTTTCTAAATGCATAGCACCATTTTATGTACTTTTATAAATATCCTACAATAAAATACATCCTGCTCTGTTAATCTAGTCATTACCACTATGCACATAGAAACCACATTGATATTTATATGTGACTTAAAATACCTAAAGATAATCCTATTTTTCCCTTAGAAGAAAATTTTCCACTAAATACTTTGACACGCATTTTTAAAAATCAAATTTATTTAGAAAATGTGGGGAAAGCTGTTATTTTACTTTATTTTGTTCACATATTTCTATTTCACAATAAAATATGGAAACTGTCCGCCTTAAAATAAGGGGGATAAAAATACTATAAAGAAAGTTGAGAGTAGAATTCTATGACAAATCGCAAAACTGTGGCACTTGTATAAATGTTTAAAGATAAAATGTGGAGAAAAATGATCTTCCTCAGGATTCTAATTATGTGCAGTCATGGTACATGATTTACCACTGAGTATTAGGTCTAGCAAAAAGAAGTTCAGAAATGATTGAACATTCGTTTAGCTTCAGTATGTTAAACCTCTAAATTAGTGTTATGTAAGCTGTTAGCTATAAATGATTACTATATACATCTACTCATATATACTGTGTATGTACATTTTTTTCATAATTTAATTTTTGTTTAAAGTAGCTACTTTTCCATTCCTCGTTAATTCTTTAAATTCCTATTTTCTTTACAAAAACAGCATGTTTTTCAAAGACTATGCATGACTTAAATTGAGTGGAATTTTAATTTGAAGATGGTCTATCACATGTCTATTCCTTTTAGTTAATGGGAAAGGGAATCATGAGTTATATAATTAATTTTACAACAGTATTTTTATGCACTATAAAATGTAATAAAATACAAAACACATTGGAAAAAAAAACAACAGAGCTTTCTTTAACTTTTAAGAAGTAATTTTATTAACAGTTGTAGTGCTAAGCTTATAGAATTTCAAAATTTGTCTTAAATTTCTGTAAATAAAAATTAATCCCATCAGAACATGAAATATTTATAAATGGTTAAACCTTTTATACTTTGTGACTTCTCAAAATATATCAGCTCATGCTATGGCAGTTTAATTTTTGTTTAACAATCAAAATAGTACAGAAATGTATGCTATACATGATTTTAGTTAATACAACTTGTTATTTTTTAATAATGAGTAGGGAAAAAAATTTTGCCTGGTGTAAAGTCAGTGTTAAAATAACACTTATACAAAAAACAAACATTGCTTTTAAAAATAGAAAAATGCAACAATACTTATTTTGCAGTTATGAATGTTCCTAAAATTAGTGAACTGGTTGCTAAATTCTGTTATATGTATTTTCAAATTTTAGTGTTTATTATAGCTAAATCACTTTTACTGATATAACATTTATTCTCAAATGATATTAAATAAAAAGCAAGGAAACTAAACTTTACTTTTAATCTAAAGATGAACATCTTTAGCTCTAATTTATTTGCTTTTAATTAAAAAATCAAAACATTCATTTAATTCTTTTTAAATATATTATTGTTGAGAACTAAAAAAAAACAAAATTATTGAAAAATACCAGTGTTAATGACAAGTTGATGATGACTGAAGAGTTTTTAATTTAGAAGGCATTAACTATGGATTAAAACAATAGGAACTAATTAACCAGGGTCAATGTCAGGGTCAAACTTCAAGTAGAATCTTTGTTGTCATATCTCTTGGTCTTGGTTGTGTAAAAGAACATCTGGAGTATGTCTTTCTCCTTGACTGGTATTGTCTTGAAATGACTTGCAACTGCCTATAAGCACAAAAAAGGGTGGGGTTCAGCAAATAGATTATTTGACAAGTTTTTGTGGCTTCTTAAATAAAAATTGACAACAATGATGTCTATAGCTTTAACTCAGAAAATATCTAAGTCATATACATAGAGTATAGAGCATGCATATTCCTCTTACGAATGACTTTATGGTATCAATTTAGGAAAGTCATTAAAATAATGCAGTATTTTAAAAAACTAACAGTCCTTTAAAGAATTGAATAAATGGAATGGACATTTTAATAATCATATATGAATCTAAATTCATACGTAATGAAGACAATATTTATATATGCATACTAAGAGACACTGTTCACTAACAAAATAGATATTACCACATCATATTGTAAGGCATTTCCTCATTTTTAATTAAGGATATTTTTAACTTGGAAGTGGCACAGCAAGATAAATAAATGTGAAAAATAGTTTTAGATGTAGGCCAATGAGTATGCTTTATTTGATAGCAACAAAAGGTTAATAACTTACATCTGCTAACTGTGCCTTGCTTAAACCTGGTCGAGTTGATATTTTGTAATGCCGTTTATACTTTCTCAGTGTATTTACTGGCATTTGGTAGAAGTCAATCTAAAAAGATAAAATAATAATCATGAGGAAAGATAATAAATTCAAGCCCTTTATGGTATAAGTTATGGTTAACAAGGCTTTAAAAGCACTTGTATAAGGCCTCTTAAGTTGACCATATAAGGGGTGGTCGATAAATGATGTCACACAAGGGTTAGAACTCTGATCTGATGTTCTTTTAAAGAGAGGGAGGGGGGGGGGGGGTAATTTTTTGTTACATAAGGCAGGGGATGCCATAGAACAAAATGACATCATTTGCGGACAAGCCCTAATACCTCAACTATTTCTTCAACACCATCATGAAACCCTTGGTCGTCTTCACTGTCCTTACGCTTCCTTTTTGTTCTTATGTTCTGTATTTGTGTCTTGTGGTAGTCACAAATATAAATGTGTGGACTCTGTTGTCACAAAAATAGAGTATAGAAATAATGTAACAAGGTAAATAAAATGACCTTGTCTCATGAGATGTACATGCATAAAACAAGTTATCTATAAAACTCAAGTAAAACAAGTAAGTTGTAAAATATATAGTTAATATAGTTATGCACTAATTTAGTTTTCAATTCTAAAAAAAAACTATTTTAAACTGTTAATAAAACACTAGTATACAACATAAATTATTATGAACAAACAAGTAATATAATTTGATAAAATCTTTATATAGGTCATTATATTTATATGCCTATATGATATATATAATAATAATATATTGACCTACAAAAGTATAGTTGGTATTGTTTTACATGAATTAGTTTTTAATTCTAAGATAATTTAATATTAAACTGAATAAAAACAGAAGTATTATCAAATTATATAACAAAACTAAAAAGGGCTTAGTTGAAAAGTAGCTAAAGTAAAAAGTTATAATTTTCAGTAGAGCCCAACTTGCATGAATAAAACTTTGTTAGGGAATAAGGATTGAGTGTTCAGTCAAATACCTGAATTAATTCTTTTCTAGTACTGGGGCCCTATGAAAGAAAAATATACACAACAAATTTGAGGAAACATCAATAAAAAGTGCTTTACCACTTCATCCCGGGTAAGTTTCAGCTTGCGAGCTTGATTCTGGATGCGCTTACTGTAGCTAGCATTGCCAGCTTGCCTCTGACATTTTTCACCACTATCAATTAGACAGCAGATCTGATCATGACTGGACCTGCTATCATCTTCTGTGCTGAAACCATTAGTGCTGAAAAAAAAATTACTTAAACTAAGGGACAACACATTAAAAGAAAAAAAAATCAAGTTTTTATATACATTGTTGTAGACTAGATTTTGGCTAATATGCACATTGTAAACAATGAACAACAGTGTTAGAACTAAAAATCAATACTTCCTCTTGTCTCACTGCCTAACAACCAACTGTCACCTATGTTATTCTTTACTCATTTCATCAAGCTCACACTACACGTATTCTATCAAACAAAGCATTGGAAAATACCCTCACACATATCATCTGCCGTCAATATGTCCTTCTTAATTGTCTATGTCTTAATGTTTACTCTATCATTAGTCCATTCATATTTAAATGTACACACAGAATGTTATTACAGAATAAAGTTAATATTTAACAATTTTTATTTCCAGCCTTTTCAAACTGAACCATGAAAATATTCTTACAAAAAAAAAATGTTAAAGTGTGTTTTGAGGAATAAATGAGATGTCCTTTTGACTTGAATGATAAATGGCTTCCAAACTATTGGTTACAGTTACAGCAACCTTTTTTTAAAGAAATCTAACATTGACACTTTATACTCATACCCCCACTTTTGATATTTTAAAAAAATTAATAGACAGAATATACATGGCTGTGTGGTTGGATGGTAGAGCGCACATTGGCAAACCTGAAAGTTTGAGTTCTGATCACAGGCTCTAGTCTGAAGGAGGTCCCTGAATCCATAAAACTCTGATGGATACCTGACTCACATTAGGGAAAGTAAAGGCGATCTGTTTTTAATCTTACCCACCATTAATTGGTTACTAGCTAGGAGGTGTTCATAAAATCTGTAATAGATGACCATGTTTTTACTTCTAAGCATTGTAAAAAAATAATGTAGACACTATAATATCTACAAAGTACAACATGGATGACAGTGATAATAATATGTAATAAAAAGTAAAGAATAATATAAAAACTGTGCAAGCACTAGCGAATTAGTGATGAGATATTTACAAAAGAAATTTTTTTTTTGTTTTTGTTAAATCTAAATAGTAAATAACTTTAATTTGAACTATTGGGCTTGACTTGACGTTGAGCTTATTAACCTGCAAAACCGAATATAGTTGATGTAAAAAAGCTGGTACTGCTAGAGTTAGATGTAGTTAGAACTTCAGAGGGCTAGTATTATCTTCTTCTTCTTAATTGTAATATTTAAGGGGATTTCCTCCAACACAATTAAGTATTAATAAACATGTTATGCCCTAAGATGGCCAGTTAACTCAAACTTTTTCCTTCTTTGCTTTCTGGATTTGCTTCAATAACCTTTATCTACCTAAGAACAATCTGCAATGCAGCAGTTATTTGATTTTGGAGCTTTCTCTCCTAAATGGGTTGCTGTCACCAGTTAATGAGTCTCATCTTAACGGGGTCTAAACTCTGGACATTTGAAGTAAGTTTAGTAAGCTATTATACTCCCCAAATTAATAATATGATATTTAGGATTAGGGTTGAAGAATTACCTAGAGTTTACAAGCTGCTAAAGAATAAAGATGATTCTTCCTACCAGTCTGAAGACATGGAGAAGAACGGTTGAAGAAGAGGCTAAAGCAGCTGGGCACACATGGGCACAGATAAAGGGGGCAGCCCGAAACCGTCCGATGGAGATGCGTGGTTGCAGCCCTTTGCTCCCCATGGGCCACAAACGAATGATGATGACCAGTCTGACTGAACCTAATCAGTCCTGAGGCCTGATGATTCGCTAATAATTTTGTTTACTAGATCCATATAGATTTTCTAGATCTATGAGTCTAAAAGCAGCCAAACAGTACACTATACTATGCATATGATAGAACAAGTCCACTAATCTAGATCTACCTGACTTGTCACTGTGACTGTTAGTAGTTACTAGTTAGTACTACTACTAGATCTAGATCTAGGAATCTAGATCTAGAATCTAGATCTAGATCTAGATGATATTTTATATTTATAAGTAAGTAGAAGGTCGGAGTTAAAGCAAAGTTAAATTTTGTTAAATTTACGTTCATTTGTAACTAAATAGAGAGACATCAAGTAACAGATTTTCAATGGATAATACAACAGTAATTTTATGAATAAATACGTCAAATATAACGTCAGAAGTCAAAGTTGTGAACAGACAAACAACAGGTCTGCCGTCGGCTACACATTTCTCTTGACAAAAATTTTTAGCTTCAATTTAAAATCAAGTTTAACCAAGATCAAGTAATCCTACCTCATATTAGCTGTTTTAGAATTGAGTGAGAATGTATTTGACTGCATCAGAAATGTTCTAAACACTATTACATCACATCAATAAAGTAGTTTTGTTGAATTCATTTCAATTACAATTTCGCGATTGATAGGATGTCGTATGTAGAATATAACACATTACGCTACCAAGTAAAACACTGCTACACACAACACATACTGATGTGCTGCAAGCGGTGAATGTTTATAAAGAATCCAAGAAATTAATACCGCAGACACAATCGTAAAGGCTATGCAAAAATAAAATACTCAACTATCTCAAAGTATTATATTTTAACAGCGTAGAAATATGAACAAAACCGATGGTAAACTAAGTACTAGACTATATTTTATAACTCTGTAAATGATGCACTTGATAAATCTAAGTCTGCCGCCCCCTACCCCGAAAGTTTCAAGTGACCCCCAACCCCTCCTCGGGTCTGAAAGGAACACTAATCTATTCTTCATCGCAAAGACCGCATATACAGGCTTCTCTAGTAGATCCAAATATAATCAATTAACTAATTATTAATTGTGAACATAAAATGTATATAGTTGAATATGTTTAAAAATATATGTTTAAAATCTACAAATCTAGATCTAATGAATTCATTTACTAACAAGGCGATTATAGTTGTAATATCTCTAAATATGCAAATTTCACTGGAATTCGTATTTATTTTTTTACCTACTGGTACCACTCTTGTAACAAGAGCTGTCTTCTTTTAGTTTATCCTAAGAAGTTAAAATGACAAGATCGGTCCGAAATCGGAAAGCGAACTGTGCAGTACAATTGTGCAGACGTTAGGACCCGTTTGGTCGAGACTGGAAATGTCTGGAATGTGTCGCTATACTCGGTACATCCACTTCCATAACTACGAAAAAGACTTCGAAGTTAGCATCTCCGACACTACAGCATACCTCCAATTAAATATTGGTCAACTTATCAAATATCTTACGCTGGGCTTTTGCAGAATAGCTCGGCGCTTGGAAGCCAGCTTACAGTCAGTGGCGTAGCTAAGGGAGGGCGGATGAGGCGGCCGCACAGGACGCCTACCCTATGGGTGCGCCAAAAGGGGTATACATTTGTTTTTAAAGCTGATGTTTTGAATTACACTCAGTCAAAGTAAGGAAAGTAAACGGCTACAAGGCTTTATACACTGGTTTCTATACCAATTGCGTGGTACTACAATGCAAACCTTTTCGGGATAGTGACTTATAAAAAGCGTCACCGACCTTTCCAACTGGTGTTGTGAAGCGCTTTTTCACCAACTTGAATAACTATAACTATAACTATAAATACACACACACACACACACACATATATATATATATATATATATATATATATATATATATATATATATATATATATATATATATATATTTACCGGGCGCCGTTATAGTTGGTTACGCTTCTGCTTACGTTTTTTTTTTTTTTTTTTTTTTTTTTTTTTTTTTTTTTTTTTTTTTTTTTTTTTGCTTATACATGTAAGTGTAAGACATGGGCGTCTGTGGCCGTTGTTTGACTTCTTGTCATTGATTAGATTGTGAGGACCTCCAGCAATGATCATAGAAACGATATCTCGCGGATGTTGTGGAGCCTGCTCGATGACCTAGATTTTGTAGACGACCTCGCACCTCTCCCACAGCAATCACCATTGCCAAAAGAGATAATGAATCGAGGAACAGATACCGATGGCAGAAGAAGAACTGGAAAATCAAGATCCACATTTATCCAACCAAATGACATAGATCTTAATCTTTCAACTCCAACGAGGAGTCTATTTTTTTAAAAATATAATATAAAGCCGACTTCGATTAGGCCTTGATGGTGACAAAGTTCAGCTATCGGGTGAGTTATGGTTACATGACCAAAAAAAAAAAAAAAACAACCAAAACCTCGACTAACCACTTATTTTAAAATCTCAAAAGTGATCATTTTATTATGTTTTTGTAGTCATTGTTCTCAACTCAATAGTAACAGATAGAGGTAACATCCTTAACTCTATGTTGATAGAGTTCAGACAAGATTTTGGAAAAATATCGTATTTTAAGAAAAATTCAATAGCCATTGTGAGGAGAGTTGTAGGCCGAAGTGTGACTTCATTTTTTTTTTGGGGGGTGGGGGGGGGGGGGGGGGTTCTGGCTTTTTTGTGACGATGTGTGACGGAGGGGATTGGTAAAAATCGTAAAAAAAAGCCTGACATCATTTATGGATGACCCCTAACTGTGACCTAAAATGTAACTTAATTAGATGTTTAGTTAACTTTTTAATTAAAAATTAATCAATGTTTCTTATATAAATTACTAATTTTCCGCGCTATTTTACAGATATTTTATGCGTCATTTGGTGCGCAATCCATTTATGTGTTTACAAAATTAAAAAAATAAAATAAAAACATTTCTATATTTCTATTGCAATGGAACTGATTTTTAAGTCAATGTGGTTGATTTGCTTTGTGATCTCATCAATTGCTAAATATTATATAAGAGTGAGGAATATGATGAATCGATTTTCAACTCGTGTCAGTATTGATACTGTTATACTTTTCTATTGTGACGATGTATGACGAAGAGGGCTGAGATATTGTCACCCCCCCCCCCCCCTTTACTGTCGTTGATTGACTTATCTGTTATTCAACATACTCAACAAGCCTTTATTCCTCTCTAAATTTTGCAGTTAGTGTCACCCCCCCCCCCCCCCCCCGGGTGATAGTTTTTAAGTGTGCACAGCTAATAGTAAAGCTGGTTATCTACAGTCAATTATTAATACATGTGGATTAACTCTTATTAATCTTTAATTGAACTGGCAAAAACATTTTTCTTCTATATATTTTGCAATTTTTTGTCATGGTGCCATCCCCTAAATGGTGTCACCCGGTGCGGTTCGCACAGCAAAAAAAAAAAAAAAACAAGTTAATAAAAAGTCTAGTGACAATTTTGGCGCAATTTCCTTATGTTATCCATAACAATTTTAAATCGAGATAAATCATATATTCAGCAAATAAATAATGCAACACAAGTAGTTTCAATAATTCAAAACAAAATAGAAAAAATCATTTCGAACCTCCGCTCATTCGCTATGGAAAAATCCTTTCGAAAATTTTCTTCGGCAATATTGTTCTAAATTATGGCAGAAATCGATTGGCAAATGTTTCAAGTCGCTAAGTGGTCTGGTTGCCGAGATATGGGCCAAAAACTGCATTTTTTTCAAGGTTTTTTGGCTTTTCCGGGAAATCCAGGAAGGAATTCCGGTAATTTTTTTGGCCTATGTTCATCCTCGGAACTTGCTTAACATATTTGCTCTTGGAATTTATCCTCGATATTGCTTCGTTGAGGAGGAGATACGACTTAAAGACAACTTAAAGCTGCGGACACACATTCCCAGAAATGACGAGTTAATAAACGCAATTCTCCAGAATGGAAATTGCGCTAAAAAAAAAGCGTTACGTCTTTTATGAATCGACCCCTTATAAAAAAATCTTTCCATCCTTATAACTCACTCTGCCATGACTAAAATATCGTGCTTAGTGCTCTGTGAGTAGTATAGTAGGTCGTGTTTGGGTCGTTTTTGTGCAGACATGTTTATATAGTAAAATATTGAGCAGCCAGAGCAGACATGTTATATAGTAAAATACTCCAGCTGGAGCAGGTGTTCCCCCTCCTCCTATTGTCTTCCGTGACGCTCCATTACGGCCGCGACGACAAACAATAGAGTATCGATTTTTTTTTTTTTTTTTTTTTTTTTTTTTGAAAGATATGTTTAAATAGTCATTAAAAATAATTTATTCAGCTAGGCTTGCTTTACAATAGGCCATATTTCTCATACAGTTGATCTATAAATAGCCGTTACTATTTACTATCAGTCTGTTTTTGTCCTCTGTTTTTCGTCTAGTCGTGTTAATTATGTTAAGTGTGATTGCTTTATTTGTTGTGGGTGTTTGATTGGTGGTTTTTTAATATTTAGTATATTAGAAGTATTATATTTAAGTGCTAGGTTGTTGGTTTATTGTACGTTTATGTACATAGTTGAGGCTATGGTGTAATCACGACTTTTTAAGTTTTCCTAGTGACGATTTCTTTCTAAAATAGTGACCAGGGTTAGACATCAAAGAGTATATTAATCAATTATCTTTAAAAAAAAATTTTAAAAATAATTATTTTATTTAGCAAGGCTTGACTATATTCCTTATTTCTCATCCAGTTGATCAATATATAAACGTTACTACCAGTCTGGTTTTTTTTTTTTTTTTTTTGTCCTGTGTTCTTTGTCTAGTCCGAGTCGTGTTAATTAAGTTTAGTGTGAGTGCTTTATGTGTTGTGGTTGTCTTCTCTTGGCTTGTCTGCTTCGTAGAGTTGTTATATTTTGATTTGATAAAAGCTGTTTGAAAAAAGATTATTATTATTTATTTATTTTTTTGTGGTCGGCGGGTTCTTTCTTCTTGAGGAAACATAATATTGACTTGATCAATCATTAATGAAGACATTGAATAATTAGCGTCTTTAGAATAATTAGACCATAGTCTGCGCTATTGCTGTAAGGTCGTGTTAGGTTAGTTCCTTGCCCATTTCAGGATTATCTTTTATAAAGTGATGGTACAGTTAGACCACTAATCCGAAAGTCTAGAGTTCAAATCCTGTTTCAAGATAGTAGCCCTGAGTTCACCCAGCTCTGATGAGTCCCAATTCACGTTAGGAAAAGTAAAGGCGGCTGCGTATAATGCTGACCACACTACCACTTCATATACCATTTGGTCTAAAGAGGAAACTTTTTTTTTTTTTTTTTTTTTTTTTTTTTTTTTAAGAATATTTCATCATCAGTATTTTTATCTTTTTTTAATAATATTTTTATTTCTATTTTTTGTTTTATTTTTAATAGTTATACAACAGCCAACAGAACAAATAGAATTATTTAATAAAGACATCCTTGTATATCAAATTCTCTCCCTTTAAAAATTATGTAACGACTTTTAAAGTAATGACAAAATGGTGAGTTGACACGGTGGTAATCCGATAAAATATATTCAAAACACACTCACGTCATTCACTTTATTGATTTTTTAAGGAACACAATGGCCCTAAAACTCCACCCTTTTGTATTCCGTGAGGACAAAACTATTGTGCGCAATCGTGGCGTGTGAGTATAGAACAATAGCTATACCCCAACGCTCATGGACGGCTAG